TAAGACTTGAAAGTGAAAGTACATTGCAAATGGCGGATTTTATAGGGGTCTTGTCTTTATACATGTCATGCTTTCAATAACAGCCTTTCAGAGACCATTCACGTCCAACTTGCCCTTAAATGATAAACATATATTATTTCTGCAATGATGGTTTTCACAAAAAGGACAGAATAAAGCAGGTGCATTTTTCTTTAAATTTGCACATTTTCTGATACAATTTTTCTCAAAAAATATTTGTTACCAAGTGATACTTTCTATCTATTTATCAATAATATATTTATAAACTATTAACGTTTTGACTTTATACCACACATAGTTTTTGAGCTATTGTAAAAATAATTTTTTAGACATTTTGACCTTTGACGAAACCTTAAAGCACCACATATTCATTAATTTTACCGGAAAAAGAGTGTTGAACTCATTGAGAGGTACAAGGATAAAATCAAGGAACAAGAAGTAAAGTTTGACTTCAGGATTGGTCAGTAGTTCTGCAATCTTTTTCACTCGTCCTCCAGATCTTTCAACATCTTTGTGACTTGGGAAATAGGACTGTAGTGCTGGCCATTGCAGGAGAGTTCTCTTTACACAATTGTCAAGACTCAGTCGTCTTATGGTGCAGTGTATCAATGGATCTGTTTCTGTGAAGACAGCAAACTCCTTGTATTCCTCAACTCTCTTTGAACTAAGATATGAGAAAAATATAAATTTACTCAAAAAATTTGTTGAATGGAATGATTTTTCCCTTCAGTTATTTTTAATAGTTAAATTTTATAGACTAAGTTTCTGAGCAAATTGTTACCTTTTGTTGAAGTGAAAATAAATATCTATCAGCAATTCATACGTTTCAATTGTTTAATGAAGATAATCATTACTGAAAAATAACAGTACATTGTATATGATCCGGCATGATGTAAAAAGATATTCCCAAGAGGGAATAGTTATAGTTTTTGTTGATTTTCCAATCGAAAAAGTGTCAATGTGTATCCAACGCTTCCTTTTTCAGTCAGTTGTATTCCTTAACATGTGAATATTCCAATTTCCATTTTCAAATCTTTTTTTCATTTTATTTATTTTCGAGGTTTTTTTTAAATTAAAATTTCAATTAATTTTTATTCTGTTTTAAAATTTATTCTTAGGTAAAGTACAACAATTATATATACTCAAACATACATGTTTAAATCAGGGTGAATCCCTAACTACACTCCAGCCGCTCTTTGAAAAATAAAAATCATGGATCATTGCATGTCACTGCATGGCACAGGTGTTTTATCTTTGGTTTATACATCCTATGTGTTGATAACAGAAATAAATAGTTGCTTTCACTGAGAGGAAAATCATTTTTGATTTTGATATTTGGTGTGGAGTTTGGGTTTTAATCATTTTTGTATGACAGCTTCAAGGTAATTTTAATGGCTTAATTTATATTTAGAATTCAATTGATATAATTTCAAAAATAACTTGCTAGATCAACCAGGACAATAATTTACAACATGTGTGTCACGAAAACTAGCTGTATGTGTACACAGTTTTTGACATTTAAAGTTCCTGTGAACATTTTTGCAGTCCCTAACAAAAGTTCATTTCTCATGCACATTGGTTATAGATAATGAGGATAAATCTGCTGTCAATGTTTGCCTGTTTCTGGCCTTGCGATTCATCGTCGCATATTTGTCATATTAGGATAATTGTACTTTTCTATGAAGGCAAAAACTTATGGTGTCCGGACCAGGTTATCATTAAAAATGCTAAAGCTGAGAAAAGAGTAGTAAGTGTATCACAGAGCAGAACAAGAATTTACCGGGAGTGGTCTCACTTCTTCATAGATATCAACCCATGACCTTAACCTTTTGACCCTTAATCTAGATTTACTAGGCTCTTATGTGCAATCTTTACTATCATTGAAGTCATTTGAAGATATCTTAACCCTTACTACTCTTCGAGAAGAATTACTTCGAATGAGATAATATTTTAAACGCATTCAAAAATCTTGAGTAAACCATATTATTTTCCTTATCTTAGACCAAAGTTCATGGTAGGCAAAACTAGTTTTGACCTTACCGAAAAATCATTGTATTGTATAGAAAGGTGAAAAAAAATTCTGGTCGGCAGCTCAAAATTTGTACAAGAACTCCAATTTCATATTAGTTTATGCATTTTATGCCTTACTTGAACACCGTATTTTAATGGCATTTTGGAGTACAGTTGGGACTTTGGAGAGGAAAATTCGAATTGGTTGAACCTGTTGGTATGTAAAAGTTTAATTGTTAAATTTTTATATTGGTAATCAGTTGCTTTCTATCTCCGTCTGTCACTTTGCGTCATCACTGACACACTCACGTGATCTGTTGCTCTCTTTCTCCCCTGTCATGCCTGAGTGACTTAACGTGTCCTGTTGCTCTCTGTCTCCGTTGTCGCCTTGCGTTTCCCTGACTCAATCATCACGTGCCCTGTTTTCTCTGACCCGATCCGTTGTCGCCGTCCGTCGTCCAAGACTTTTAAATGTGTCCTATTGCCCTCTTTCTATGTTGTTGCCTTGCGTCGTCCCTGGGTGAAATGACCTGATAGTACTATCTGTCTCTGTCTGTCGACTTGTCTCGTTCCTAAAGATATAGGATTTTCCAGCTTATTGACTATAAAGTGAGAAAAAAAATCAATCAATTATTGTTCATCGCAATTACGGAGAAAAAAGTGGGTTGTTTTATGACTGAGGACTTTGGAGAACTAAAAGTTTTAAGTGCAATTTTCGAAAGCAATTACTCTTAGACAACTAGCACAAAACAGTTGGCATTGTCATATCAAGCAGTTATGCATGACATAATATATGGAGATAACGAACAGTAGTCCATTCAAACAATACAAATCAGGAGCACAGCAAACATTGACCTCTCAAAAATCAGGGTTGAAAAAAATCCTCATAGTACAAGCGAGGTTAAAATGGATATAGGACATCTGATAATTTTCTTTCAACTTATGGACATTTTGCAGAACTGTCTGTATACTTGATGAAGATGAGCCAAGATGAAAGATAGAAAATCAATTAAACTATAACAAGAATAATCGAGAAGTTATCTACCAGAGTTGAAAAATTCCCCAATGGGTTCAGAGTCCGGGAGACTCTACACAGGGCTCAAATGGTTAACTTATGACCCTACAATGACCACCAATGCCACTTGCAAAAATGTACTGGTATATAAAAAAGGTGAAGTACTAGTAATCTACAAATAATACTAACCTGTGAATGAGTCAAAGAGCACCCAGAAATTCCAGTCAGGGAATTAGGATCTTTGGAAGAGTAGCCATCCTTGTCGACCGGTCTCAACCGCCAAGGGTTTTTTTTTTGTACATGAGCAGAAAGATTGAATATTCTGTTGTCAACTTTAGCATAATTAAAAAACTTAACTACTGGTACCAACACATCGATCAAAAGCGACCTAACTGCCTAATGATGGACTATATTTGCTAACTTTGTCATATTAATGATTATGGAATTTACGAACTATTAAATTTAAACGAGATATTTGAAATCCTTGTAGCATTAACTTGTCTCTCAGTAGCCTGCTTTGGTTTAAAAGTTGGTCGTATCCAGAACATGTTAGTGAAACTGGTCATCTTTATATACAATTTAGTCAAAAGTTGGCCCTATCGTCATGTCCAAATATGAAACATGCGACAGAATATGTGGTGCTTTTTCATTGCAAGTTTGATTGAACATATAAATGGATTCTTGATTGTTTATTGATAACACGTCGTAAATATATCTGGATATCGATTTGAAGGTGAAAGAAAGTGTTTTCTCTTTCTCATGTAGAAGTTTTTGAATAAATTCTACTTCATAGTGATTTGGAATAATTTTTCACCACTACAAAGTGATCGACTGTGATTATTTAAGATGAAATTGGGTAAATCCAAATAAATACAGTAATAATAATTATTTTAACAAACTCTTAAAGATTGAAAATAACTGTTTGTTATTTGTGAAATTTCTTTTGACCGAAAAAAAACTGTTTCTTCTGCCATATTCCATCACTGACACCCTTACTGTGTGATGGAATGTCTGACTTTTTAAAAGTGCCGTTTACTTATAACCCCATGCACTTTTCTATCGGTCAGTAAAAATTCAGACCTATCATTAAAATATCATATTGTTTTGCCAATAAAGGAGTGTGTTGGCTGTACAAACAATGGCCCCGTGATAAGTCAATAAAACACGAGTGGACAGTCTCTGTCAGGGAGAGTATCAGGATTTTATTAAGTATACACACATATGAAAATCTAAACCAGGTGACAGTATCTAAAACATTTCAATGCCTGTTTGCAAACTTGAGATGTCACTTTGTTTATTTTAACGCTCTAGCACAATCTGTATGTATTTCATATTTTAAAATTGTTATTCATTCAAATATTAAGAATAAATCATTTCAACAGTTCAAGTTCAGGTTTAAATGCGTGCAATTTCACAAAATCAAAACATCGACTGGCCAATAAAAACACAATAATATTTAATTTATGATGAGGGGGGAACCTGAAATGTTGTTGTTAGGATTTTTTAAAAATATATTATTTTTTAAAATTATTTTCTTATTTGGAAAACGGTCAATTAAACGTCCGTCTCGTAGTCTTCAGTGCTTCACCGCCGGTAATAAAAATTAATACTGAATATGCACATTCTTCACCATTTAACCTGTTCAGAAAAACTGTGTAATCAGGCTATGTATACATAATATGTAATCCTATTTGATAAAGGGAACCTTGAGGATTCTTTAATCTTGTAATTTTTGTCGTATTCATTTGATTTTTCTAGTCTGGTAGCAATACCACGTTTAATTTTCGGGAAAATATTGAGCCATTATTTATATTGTCATTCGAATCTAACTAAATTAAGTCATTCTTACATCATTTCTTGTTAAAAGGTCCTTTCATTTAAGTAGGCTTTGAATGTTAATTAAGAGCGTTCAGTCTGAGAATCAAATAACATCGACATTCCTAACAGGTAAACAAAAACAGTGTAAGTATCGGATAGGATCTTAATCAAGTGAAGAATTTGTTTTCTTTAGAGATATCTTTCAGCTTCTGAGATTTAACAGTCCGTGAAGTTGGGCCACTGAATTTAAAGCCGAGTTTGATTGGATTAATTTACAGGTATGACTTACCTGCTATCAGATTTACCTGACATCCTTTTATATCGCCAAGACTTCTAAAGGAGATTACACGATCGGCTGATTTACCACAACAAACTTCGTATTGCACCTAAAGCATGCGAAACTGAGAAAGTGCTAGTGTTGTATACGATGTTACAAATTATGAAACAAGTGGTTTGTTCCTTAATTCTGGTGACTGTGGTGGGTGTAAATGCCAGACAAGGATACGATGTCGAAGAAATAATGCCAAATCGTACACACGACCACTTTGAGCTGAAGTGGGGACCGCATCAACCGTTCATTCTAATGATGTATCAACAGACTACGTTCAGTGTAGAATATACCTTGTATTGTAATCATAGCAGCGAAAAATACCGACTGGGAGTATTTAGTAAAGGAAAAAAGGTATTCACCGTCAGACAAACAGACAGCACGATCATTTCCTGTGGAAATGCCACTGAAATTTTGGTAAATGTTACTGACGGACCAAACGTTTTACCTATGGGCAAGGATGCATCTACAGTCTCCCAGCCTTATCACGTGATTCATCGCATGGGCATTAGAGGAAACTTAACCTTTAACCTTTACGGCGAACTCATAGGACGGACATTTCTGGCCTTTGAACTCCGTAAATTAGGAAACATGCAAAACAACCTATCTGTTGAAGACTATAGCACTTATCATGTTGTTGTCTTTAGAAAAATGGGAGTGCTCGATACGATTTTCCGTGTTGTTATTTACATTTTCCTTGTTTTCGTAACTTTGGCCTTTGGATGTAAACTTGACCTTGGAGTTGTAAAGGAGAACTTGCGCCGCCCTGTTGCCCCAGCGATCGGAATCAGTTGTCAGTATATCCTAATGCCATTGGTAAGCACATAACATTTCACATCTATCTATCTGCAGATTTTAGAGTGGTTGACTCTCATTCTCTCTGAAAAAAGTTTTAGGTCTGATCCATCAAGCAACTTGCAGAGAAAAGGGAGGGGGATTTAATTACTTTGACTTTATCTGATAAAAATGTAATTTTGTTGAAATAATAAAACTTACCCGTTTTGTTCTGTTCTACTTCATTGGATCCATAGAAAAAAATAAAGTGAAGTTTATCTCGGATCAAGTGGAACATGTACAGTACTGATTCGTATGAGAAATTAATATCAGGCTCATTACGTCAGCAGCAAAATAAGTATAGTTTTTCTATCTTTGATATTTCTTATTCTAAACTTTAAAAATATCTTACTTCTTGACGTTTAGATTGCATTTGGCATAGCAAAGCTGGTGATTCCAGAGGACCATGCCGTGGGTCTGGGGATTTTCATTTCCGGTACATGTCCAGGAGGCGGGGTTAGCAACATATACTCTCATTTACTGGATGGAGACCTGTCACTCTCAATCACCATGACGACCATCAGCACAATTGCAGCCTTAGGTATTGAAACTGATTTACAGAATCTAAAAATGAGTTTTTTAAATTATATTTTTCTTGTTTTCTTAACAACAACACAATTAAAATGCATATTAAAACGCTTTGATCGTGATTACATTCAGATTTAATTTTCTATACTTGCAGCAATGATGCCGCTATGGATCTACACACTTGGTCAAGTTTTTATCAATGAACTGAGCACTGACACGGAGATGAACATCCCGTTCCTGAACATTTTCACGACCCTGGTGATCCTGGTGGTGCCGTTACTGGTAGGGGTCGCCATTAAGTACAAATTACCACGTCTAACGAAGATTCTGATGAAGATCATCACCCCCGTCACTATCATCGCCATCGTCGTCCTACTGTCAGTCGGCATCTACACAAACTTGTTTATTTTTAAGTTCTTCGAGCCTAAAGTCATACTCGCTGGTGCTTTACTGCCATATTGTGGTTATGTGCTGTCAGGAATCATTTCTCTGATTCTGCGTCAGTCGTGGACCAAGGTTAAAACAATCATTATAGAGACCGGGATTCAGAATCAGGGAATCGCCATATTACTTATGTTCACGGCCTCCCCGCCACCCGATGGGGAAATTGCGGCCGTGGCCCCCATAGCTTCTGGGGTAATGACGCCCTTACCTCTCTTCTTGTTGACCATTATCTATCTTATCTACAAGCGGTGTAACAGGGATAAGTATGCAAATATGCCCAAGGAGGACGTGTCGAAAAGGGGCGATATATCACTGGCTGTGAATGGCGATAAAACTGTTGTCAATGGCAAAATGGAAGAGAAACCTCTGCGAGAAGAAGAGGACGATTAATTTGTCTGGATCGTACCTTGTTTGAAAAAAATAAGCAATTCAGTCAGTTCAGTATTCTGATTTTCAGCATTTAAGATATGTTTCACTTTTTATTTGGGTTCAAATGGCATCACGCATAATATCTCTTCAGATGGGATAATATCTAAAGTTAACTGATGTATGTATATTGTTGCACCATATAGAGATTAATTTAGACAGTTAAAACGATATATAATTTTTGCTTACATGTTAGAGATTTTGAACCAAAATTACAAGGACCATATAGAGAATAATACATACCCTTTTCCATACCGGTATCACATTCTGTATCAGCCCGAGACACCAATATCAGCCAGAGGGCCGAAGGCCCGAGGGCTGATATTGGTCGAGGGCTGATACAGGATGTGATGTGGAAAAGGATATATGTATTAATATGTTTATTACATGATTAGTAATAAAATACAGCATCCATTAAGTTGAGAAGAAAATAAGCAAATAATCATGCATGGACTTTTTACATACGTGTACATGGTCTATTGTCTCAAACAATTTGGGTTTGTTTCTACTTCTATTTCAATGCACTCGATCCGTAATTTGAAAATAATCTATTACATGTATTTGTAAATTAAGATTAACCTTTTTTTCAAAAAGTTAAGATTAAGAGAATATGAACCCACCAAAAATTGTATATGATCACAAGTACTGTTTAATGATCACAAGTACTGTTTAGTGGTTTAAATTACTAAGGGTGTGATATTGACGTCACAATAGCCGTATCAGCCCTGCAGGGCTGATATGGATTTGCAGGGCTGATATAGGTTATCAGCCCCGCAAATCCATATCAGCCCTGCAGGACTGATACAGCTATTGTGACGTCAGCCATATCGCATATGCAAAAAACCTGTATTTATTACTAAGTGTGTAATAAAAATGCATACATGTATATAATTTATAAAGACTAGCGACGTAAAATGTACAACAACATAGCTACCTTAGAAATTCTTGCATATTCTCCCATTGCGATATATTTATTTTGTGTTAATTAATTTACGTCCGAAGATCATGTACATGTAGATATTGAACATAAAACATGTACTAATGTATACAGGGAAAATTTCGCCTCCGTTTTATTTAAAATCACCCCTCTTAACCTAGACACAAGTGGGCGAATTTAAGATGGGACGAATTCAAAGAAAACAGTAAAATGTTTTAAAAATAGAACCGTGACGGCGAATTTGAAAGGGGGGAAATGGTTTGCAATTATAAAATAACCCTGTATACAGTATTCCTTAATCATTGAAGCGGGCCCTTTTCTCAAGCAAATACTTTATATGTTAATTTATTCTGTCGTAAAATGAAATTAAGAAAATTTGTTCTTGTAAAATTTCTCCTTTTTTTTAAACCTTCACAAAGCTTACAAAATACTCGAATTTTGCATTATTTTCTCAGTTATTCAAACCTTGAATAGTTATATGCATACACAACTTTTTGTTACGTATATACTCATTTCGATTATTTAACACATTTTGTTTGTACGATTTAAGCTAGCCTTTAAAATTAACTTATATATACACGTACATTTACTCAGGAAAACTTCAATAAACGTGATACTTCTTGCCATTGAAATATTTCTTTCCATTTGAAATTAGAAACGGTAGGAGGTCGGTAAGTCCGGGGTATTAATGTCTGTTTTAAGACGGTAAAAATAAGGGCAGCCTAGACATTAATTTTTCACCCGTCAAACCAGTGAAAAGATGAAATATGTACCTTATATTGCCAAAGAATTCAGTCAGAGATTTAATCGAGCATTCCCTCGGAAACAAATTCATAAACTATAGGATTAGATCAAAATCACAAAAAAAAAATCTTCTCGTAAAGTAAAAAGTGTATTTACTTATCTGTTTATTTACCTGTTTATTTCTTATCCATCTTTTTGACAATCTTGATAGATCTTTTTCCATCTTTTGTTTGATTAAAAAAAAAATATTTTCGGGAACGGGATTCCAAAAATATTGAACAAAGATACAGCAGACGTTTTATTTTGGTTCCGACTGTAAAGTCAAGATGTACGGTAAAGACAATATTTCCACACCTGTCATTGTTTTGGCTGAATGTCCTCCCTTAGAAGAATTGCTTGCAATTACCGTATGCATAACAAGAAACCTCCATATTTCATCAACTCTACAACCTCACATCATACGATGCAGGTAAGTAAAATATTCAAGTACACCAGGGCCTGGTAGAACTACAGGGCACAGGCACTTTGTTAGCTTAGTACCCGCTGTCTTGGCAGACTCGTATACATCATACATGTACACGTGTATTCTGTAAAAGAATTTGACAGCATTTTCTAGTATTAGGCCATAGATTTATAAGGAATATCATCTCATAATGTTTGGACAACTGGTATCTCTACGGTGACGTACCTTCTTTGCCCGACAATAAATTTTACCACTATAGACAAACAAACAAACAAGGCCCCGTGAAGGAAATGAAATTATGATTCGTTGCACATATAACCAGGCGTAACTATACTATTACAAAATTGTAGCTCTCTGGGAACGAAAATTCGGATAGACAGAGGTTCGCAAATAAAGTACTTTAAAAATAATTTTTGATGCAATACATTGGATGAAGGAGTACAATATTAGGTACATGAAGTTCAAACTTGCCATATTAAACTAGAAGTGTTTGTGGAAAACTCATGCCCCCATATATAGAAGCCCATAGCGAGGACTGAAGATTCTCAAATTCAATTTAAATTCAAATTCAAAAACAAAATTGTTCGCATCTAAAGAAGATTTTGTCACAAGGAATACACCTGTGAAGTATAAAACTATTCAATAGTTGTGGCCAAAGTTAAAGATTTTTAAAAGTCAAACTCTAAAGTCAAGTTCAAAAGGTCAAAAATATTTATACCCATGGAAAGGTCTTGTCACAGTAAAAAAACTTATGTAAAGTACATGTATGTAAGCCCTAGCAGAGGGCTAGCACCAACTATTCAAAAGTTATTGCCAAGGTTAAAGTTAGGGCCTTTTTGGTAAAAGGGGGTCAGATTCCAAGATCAAGAGGTCAAATTTGGTGGTACCCTCAGAAAGGTGTTGTCACAAGGAATACACTTAACAAAACTTCTAAGTTTCACTCTAATAAATGTATTTATTTAAAAACTACTTGTCATTCTCATCGCATACTTTTCACAATTTGTAAGCTTTGGACAAAATTTAACCAAACCAGAAGTGATCTGAATCTTCGTCTGAGGCCAAGGTTTCTCGTTACAACGAGGTCAAAAACATTGTTACATGGTCCTGAACCACTTTAGAAACATTTAAATCAACAACTTCAACAGTAAGAAAATGGCGACAATTTGGTGCGCATGGCAGTCCAGTATCATCTTAAACAGTCTGAATCATCCTGAAAGAGGTGTACTTACCTACAAACGCCCAAGATAAAGACCAAAAGGCTTTTTCGCGCATTGGCCTGCTAACTCACCGGATCTGAATCCCATTGAACACATTTGGGACTTTTAACAGTAATGTCAAAGCCCCCCCCCCCCCTCCACACAATTTCAACGGTTTTGAAAGATCCCTGCAAAACGTGTGGCAGCAGATGGGTCAATCTCCTATTCTGGGCTACATGGTATCCATGAGAAAAGGATGTCGCAGTAATTAGAGCGAGTGGTGGTCTAATTCCATAAATATTGTTTTATGTGAATTTTATTTTGAGCGTACATTATGTCCATGACACTTTGCTTTAAAATCTTACGAGATACTTACTTGAAAATTACGCAACATCGAACTGAAATATGCATCATTAACCATGAATTAAAGATATTATTTTTTGTATGCATTTGTTCTTTATAACTTAAAAATGTTAGGTGACCGTGAACACTTAGAAGTTTGGTTCACTGTACACCTGTGAAATATGAAACCATAGCCCCATCCACTTAAAAGTTATGGGCAAGGTTAAAATTTTTGCGGACAAAGAGACAAACACACAGACGGACAGAAAAATGGACGGACAGGGCAAAATCTATCCCCATCCCGAATCTTCAATTACGGGGGCCAAAAAAAAAAACATACCATAAATGGAAAATTTTACGAGTAGATTCGTAACTTACCTGACCGATTTTTTCCCCATCTACCTGCAGTTCTGCAAAAAATGGTAATTAGATTTTTTTTATATGACAGTACATTTTTTTCTCAAGAAATTATAGTATTATTTCTCATGAAGACGTCAATGATACATGTAGGCTGATAAGAGAAATAACTCTAAATGATCATTTCAATGTAAAACGTTATTTTTGGTCAATTTTTACCGTATACCGTATTACTGTAATAATCTTGGGCATTTTACTAACACATTGTATTTCTAGTTTATTCAAAAAATATAATATATATTCCATTTTTATATTAGTAAACAGATGAATTTATCTTAAACATAGATAGTCATGATATGCATAAATCATGTTGAGGGTGCCGTCATGCGTAAGAACGTTATAAATTGATTCTATGTTTTCTAAAAAAAAAATATTATTTTCAAAAAGGATTTTATCATTGTGTTCCAGAGGTTATACTTAAGATGCCAAATGCATGTTTATAATATACATGTCTTCGGTATTTTTAAGTTATTTGCATCTACGAAAAAAAAAATCAGATATGAACAAAGACCAACAAAAAAGCTACAGCCTAAAATGAAGCAAATGGTCTACATAGCTTATTTTTTTCACAAGTGAAACCTGTTTTATTTAACGCAAAGCTTATTTCGGTGGAATCACGACGCTGTTTTATTATTTTGTTAAACATTCAAATATTATGTACATGTAAAGTTTTTTACTAGAAAATAAGTTTAATATTTTACAGAGAGCTAATATTTACGGAGCCAGAAATTATAGCAACGCCTTCCTTTAACACGGACAATGCATTTCACGTTGTACTGAAGGTAATTTTTTTCCTTCCCGTGTTCAGCAAACTTCATGTACACATGTATATATAACATCCTATTTATAAGCATTTGTTATATTCACAAAAATTTAATAAATTTAAAGGGCACTGAAATACAAAATGTAAATTCGTGTGGTTCATTTCAGAGGACGTTATTTAACACTGGGAAATTACAAGCAAGATTTTCCAAGATCGGTTTACAGGTATTTATTCCATATGAGATAGTACATGACGCATGGCTGAATAAATATTAACATGAAATTTTTGAAAAACAGGTGTTATAATTTGATCCAAGAGAAATAACAAAGCTGAGTTGGGCTGGGTTTCCAGTTACCACAAGTAATTGAGTCTACTTACAAAGTCATAATGATTATGTCTCGTGTAACCAGAGTTGGCAAGATCAAGTTAAAGAACAATGGGAAATGCATTTCTTACATAAAGTACATGGTGTCCAGATTTAGGTGAAAGAAATACAGACACTAGGACAGGGTGCATTGCATCTCATCATGGTGTCTTGTTCTAAATTTTGAATTTACCGGGTGGGAGTAAATACAAAACTTAGAACATGACAACTTCTAAATTTTGTGTTTACTCCCACCCGGTAAATTCAAAATTTAGAACATGACAATGGACTTATTCTGGTCAACAAGTTTTGGTTACATTTATAAAGGCTTCATTGATATCGTCCATCTGAAAATCAATATATAACGCTTTGTCCTGGTAAGGTTCAATTATATTTAGGCAAGTAATTACGGAGGAGGTGCACAGTTTGTGAGGGTGTACTAACTACACATTGTATGTTTAGTGTAGTGACCCCCAGCCTGTGACGACAGCCTTGTTCCAGTCCTGTATACACTACACCTTGCTGGCCAGAATCGCCCCATCCTGGAACAAAGCAGGGCAGTGGCTCATTCAGGGTAAAAGAGACAAATTAAACAAGACATACAATTTTGTGATTCCTGAGTTTAGTTATATTATAGTGCTAAAGCCAAAATGTCTTCTCTAGGTCGAGATTTTCTATCACACCAAGGATATGATAATGCCGTCAGTAAGTTCATTTTTCTCTTCGAGTTGTCGTTCTTTCCTTTTCATGAATGAGCATCTTGAAGTATTGTACTTATCTTTACCCAGAAATGGACCTGGTGGTCACTTTTGGTCAGCTGCATCTGTCCCTCGTAGCGTCCACTGTCAGGTTTCCTGCCCTACAGGTAAGGTGTAAAACTAGTGCGTTTCACCAACATTCTACAAGAGAGAATTGACTAGATATCCATATTATGTACTAAACAGTTATCTTACTCAGTTCAGTTTAAGTTGTTTTCTAAATTGTAGCTTTCTGACATTGAACTTCTTCCTCAAAGTTTAAAAAAGTTTACGGAAGACCGTAACTTTGTTATTTCTGGAGATTCTATTGGTTCTACATGGTGCCACGTGTTACCAAGGTACGTTAGCTTTTTTTTAAATTTCATTTTTTTTTTTTGCCAATTGTTAATTCAAAGCGCTCAAAAATCTATTTTGACAATGTAACCAAAGTTAAAGAATGTGATCAAAAAAGAAACTTCAACCTCAGTATGAAAAAGGGACAGATAGTGGGCATTGGTCGACAGCTGCCTACAGATGGTCCGTTCAAATCCTACAAAGAAATCAAAAGACACTGGAAAAATTCAGTAAGTCAAGATCAATTGATCAAATGTATTCTAATTTTGTAATAATCAATTTATATCTTTACTGACAATAATAGTATTTCCTGTGGGATAAAAAATTTGAAGAAGTGTATCATATGATTTTCTTTGATTTTTTTTTTGTTTGATTTTATTTTTGTTTCTTTTCTGCTTAATTTTGCAGTATGGATATCGACTACCTGAAAACGAGGAGGACATAATCTACTACCAGATCCATTTCAGACCTCTGGGGGACCGGGTGTTTACATATCCTTTAATATACATGTACCATCTTAAAAATACATTGGTTTATTAACTGTCGAGTAGTCACATCCTCTTTTTATAGATTTCAGAAATATATAAAGTCAAATCGGAGATGAAAAAAAAATGTTATTAATTCAAAAAGGAAATGGTGAAAAAAAAACTTACAGTCCTGTTACATCTCTTCTGCAATTATGCTCACATGGAAATGATTATTAATAAATATTTTGATTTTCAACTTAAGGATACAACTGAAACAAACAAGAAGAATAAACTAATGGGTTGATTTATATTTTTTGGACTTAGATTGGTTTTCAAGCCAGTATTGAAGCTAAAAAATCAATTCAAACAACAAAATCAGAAGCAGAGCAAACAATCAGAGGTTGGATCTGGCACTATTGAAAAGTACCGACCGGTCACACGCGCTGTGTGCTTCTAGTCAGGATCAGGAAATAACGGAAAAAATCCGTCGACAATACAGTGTGTATATAATTGCCTAACAATTAGAATGCAAAATGTCAGTCAGCATTTGACTTAATGATATAGTGTATTTGATGACAATGTCATTGTATCGACCGTAGAACTATTGATACTTTTGTTTCATCAACTTGTTTGTCAACAGCTTGCCTCTTTTAGAAATTGTATAAAATTAGACTAAGAGCTTGCTCTTGTGTATTAAATCAACTGAAAGAGATGATATTCAGCTGATAAAATTATATCGCTGTATTTAAAGGGAAGTTAATGATAAAGAGTTTACGTAATCACGTTAACTTTATCATTAAGCTTTATTTTTAGACTACCATTACCATTAACTTCTTTTTCAAGTAAAACATTAAACTGTGAAACATATGTCAGACTCTGTGGTATCTTTCATGTTGAACTCTCTTGGATATATCAAGTCGTCATATGAATAGAATTACTTATGTTTTTTGGTGATGCGTCGTCGATATATATCAAATCTCTATCATACTGGTATTTTATTGCAAAATTGTAGACTTTCTTTGATTTTCAAATTTATTCCCTTTTGTTACCGCACTTAAAAATTTAATCAATTTTTTATCATGATTTAACATTATTAACAAAGTTTAAATGAAAAATGAAACTTAATGCGACTAAACTATTTAAACCAACTAGAAAAAATTCAATTGCTTTAAGGCATCTGTGTTTTTTTTAAACACTGTCTTTAAAGAAAAGGAATCGATATTAATTTTATTTCTCCCTGACTGACATCACTTACCCTGATGTATGTCTGAGGGCCCGGGACATCCACTGTCTCCCCCGGGTTAACCCCAAACCTATACTTGTCGCCTTTCTCCAGGACCTGAAAAACAAGATGTCCACGGTGTGTGGCTACCGATTACAGTTTCAGTCCAAGGCGAGCTATCTAACTATGGAACTCTGTTCTGTTAATAAGGTGAGTATTGTATTCTTTTATTTATTGAACATGTAAATATGTTAATCAATTCTCGAACTTGTTTAAAAACATATATCTAAGTGAAAGTGTACCAGTCTGTGTTGTGAAGAGACAGATAAACCAGGGTTACAGATCCAAGTTGAAGTCATAATGTTTATCATGAAACTCTGTTATTTTGTCACCTTTAGCGCCTTTTTCTGAAGTACATGTATTTCAATATTAAACAAATGAGTCAGACACTGTGCATCGTCTCAAGCCACGGTCCGGAGTCCGCATATAGCTCTCAGAATGGGAGAGGATCGTACATTTTGGCCGTGGTTTGCGACGATGGACTCTGTGGTATCTGTTAATTCAATTTCTCGGGTATGAATTAATTCGAGTCGACAAATGAATGAAAGTAACTATTCATACGTCATCGATGTATTAAAATGTGAAGTCGACGGCCATGCAATTGTTTTCTTCTCGGGCATGTTTTTGACAGGTCTGTTTAAAATGGCTGCCCAATGGGTACCCATGATTTAACAGACTGTAGGAAGACTTGATCTCCAAAACCTAAGTCGTAACTGTTAGAAACTCAAGCATCGTAAATACTAAGTTCGGAGTATTAATGTGTACAGTAAAAATGTTTTAACAAAATAATTTGGCAAATGATCAATGACTTTTTATTGAAAAACAGCTGTCTTTGGTGTCAGAACGCCTGGACTGAACTTTATTGCTGAAAAGTCGTTTGTTTCGATGTTATTGATTCTAGTAGATTTTGTCATCTTAAATCTTCTAAAGGTCTTTTGGAATTTTTAAGTATCCACATCTGATTTACCACTTATCGAATATATTTGTTACACAGTACTCCTGGAGTCTCCATATTATATACTTTACCAATTTTAATATATTTTAGTGAGGACTATAGAGACTTGGGAGAACATTTACTAGAACCGGCTGTGTATTTTTGTTTAGAAGAATATTTTTTAGTTGAAATATCCGTTATTAGTATGTTGGTTCAAATTCAATATCAACACCTCGAGAAAAACAATTTTAAGAATACTCCATTCTCCATTTCTCGTACTCCATTGATTCTAACACAAGAATTCATAATATTTATGAATGTTTGAAGGATTTGAAGTCCTAATCTTTAGTTCTTTTATGAAATTTTATGATATTTATAATTAATGTGATTTAAGGTCCTCATTATTTACTATACTCACGTCACCTGTAATGACGTGTCAAGCAGAACTATATAGTTGTTTGGGAAATATTGTTCGATTAATGCGAGGTTCGTAACAAGGTATATGCATTGAAGATTGTTTTTGTCTTCGACTTTCCCTGCTCGCTTAGCTCTGTTACATTAAATGTCAAATTTAAATTGTTTTTGTGTTTTTATTGCATATTGAAATTAAGGAATTAAATGTGATTGGCAAAGAACGCAACTAAGCTGTTTTTATCTTATAAATCAATGAATAAGTCAAGAAGGAAAACGAGGAAGACATACATGTAAAGTGCGTTTTTTGTGCGATTTGTTCCCTCCTATGTAAATCGCCGCCACAAAAACTTGCTACATAGATAAATAAATAAAATGTATTTATGATTCATATTTCAAACATCAGTATGTACATTAAGGTTACAGATTTATTTTTTCGTTGGTCAGAAGGAGCAAGAGAAGACAGATAACAGTAATCTGGGACAGAAATGTAAGACTCCTGGTAAAGTTATCTACAGAAACTTCCCACTCCCTTCCCAGAATCCATCTCAAAGTAATGTTATCTCAAGTACGTCTATACCCCCCGTCAGATCGTCAGATGCAGTAACCAGTGACACACATACCAAAACAGATAATGTAACAAAAAGTAACACTGAATCCTTGGGAAGAGGTGGTTTTACTGGAAATGCCGCAGAGTCCATCACAAATACAAAAGGAACTCAAGGTAGAACTGCTGTTAGTTCAGATATGAGTGAAATCCCAAAAGTTTTCAACTCAGGTCAGACACATTTGGCATCTCAGAACACTAATGACAGACATGTGATTCCACCTACTCAAGCAGCAAACTCTGATACGTGTGTTGCCAGTTTGGGAGAAGAAAGGATCGTTCCAAGGTTCCAAGCAAAGAAACCTACTAATTTTGTGACAAAGACAACCTCAAGTATAGATTCACAACCTTCCAGAATTGTTCCAGTATTCAAAGGAAAGGTAGCCAGTGGAAAAACAACAGGGAGTGGTAAAAAGCTACAAAAGGAGCCAAGTACAGAAAAACAGAAACAACCAGTCATATTCAAAAGTGTAAATATCTTGTTATTGAAAATTTTTTTTTCTCATTTTTTTTACCTTTTTTAATCTAACGACTTGTACTTTTTTAAAGGTTTCTACGCCAAGATTAACAGTTTCCTCAAAAATCTCTGATATGATGACGAAATCATCCACTGGACAAGTTACAAGTCAGCAACTCAACAAAAGTAAGTCACTTCATTTATTTTTGGGGTAAAATGAACCGCAGAATCAATGAAGAGTGTAAATGCATGTTTCTACATAGAAACTAAATTAATGTTTATGTATTGTACTATTTTAAAATAAAATGTGCATGCAAATAATAGATATTGCTTCTAAATCACTAGAAGCGTTTACTGGAAATTAATTTTCGTGGGGGGGTCAATTTTCGTGGTTTTCAAGGTGTGGTGAGACCCATGAATTTATATCCACCAGAAATGCAATTTTTCACATACTAGTATATTACTACTGAACAATTCTTCAACCACGAAATCAAATACCCCTGAACCAATATATTTTCCTCAAACCACGAAAATTTGACCCCTCGAAAATATGTGATTTTACAGTATATATATTAATGCATTAGGATCATTACATGGAAGTTATATTTTATTGTTTAAATGATTACTGTAGAATGTAGTATACAATCACGTTTGTAGACATCAAGCCTCCAATCACACCAACTTTGCTGAGACGAGAAAATGGTTTGAACTCGTCACATCCGCTTCCATCTACACCATGCAGAACAGTACCAGCTTTAACACCGTCTTTGTCACAAGGAGTTCATCACAGAACCCCTTCTCAAATAACGTCTGCTACAGTTTATCGAAATACACCAAAAAATACACCAAACGCCACTCCAAAAAGGCTGTCAACTTTACTGCAGACTGAAAGTGGACAGAAATCCACTCCCATATCTCGGACCGTGAACAATTATGATCAGGATTCCGATGACGATTTCCTGAAGTCACCATCTGTTTGTGTTAAAAAGAGACCAAATAATGAGGTAAATTCCTGATATGTTGTTAAGCAACTGATCCTTAGGAAAATGTTCCATAGAAATCACATTGTTCATTCTGACATCTTTAAGACCTTTGGTGTGAGTCGATGGCTCAAACAGTTTTTATTAGAACATTTTTCAAGTTACAAAGTTACACAAATACTTCACAACCTTGACTTTGGGAACAGGACTTCTATAGATTTTGCGGTGATACCACTATATTTACTAATATCTGTGTGTCTGCATGGTGTGTCTAAATATATAATTTTTTATAGTGATACTTTACGTCTGTTTTCAATGAACCTCAACGAAAGTATTTACTTTCCTTTCACTTCCTTTGCGGAATCTTCTCTTTGTCAGTTTTTTAGTTGATTTTGAGTTTATATCAGGAAATGTGATAATTTTATGGGTTTTTTTAATTTCCAGCAACCAGACAATGTTGTATCTAAGAAACCCAGATCAAAGCCTGCAGTACAGAACGTGGACGTAGAGGCCTTGGCAATAGAAGGACAGGTATAGATTGTATTGTATATATAGGAGTTATAATCGGTCCTTCAGGATGAACTTTTGTTAACAGTTTTAATGAGGCAGAATTCGAAAATGTTACAGATGGTTCATCGTCGCAAACCACGGCCAAATGTACGATCCTCTCCCATTCTTGGAGAGAGCTGTATGCGGACTCCGAACTATGGCTTGAGGCGATACAGATGGTTATATTTGTTCATTTGTCTATGCATCTGTCCCTGGTTCTTTTTGTTCATTTCATTCCGTTCATTTTAAAATTACTGATTCATATAAGACATAAAAAGCCACGCCTTCAGTATAAAAAAAGTTTCACGTGTGGTATTGTAGGGAATTATTGTGCCAATAGTGGGTGACTTAAAATTACCGTTTTGCTTTGAACTCAGTATGTAAGGATGCTGCCCTCATTATTTTCATTGCACTGAGGGATCTGCTATAAGTAGAGGGTTGTGTCATTTACTTTTTAATTTTTAATTGATTAATAATATACTTTTAATTCCTACATACTTTCAGGGTATGGGGATCTATTCACTTACATGTAATATTCGAGTTCTAATTGTAACCTTTTTACAGTTAAACAAAGTGAACAGTGTGACAATGATATCATGGCTGAAAACCAGGGGTGTCCAATGTAGAACCAAAGACAAGAAACAAGAGCTAGTTACCAAAGTCCTCGCTGCGCTGAATGTCCGAGTCAGCGAGCAGTGACTGTCATACAATCTCACTCTTTTCTGTTTTATATCACATCGTGGTGAATAAAAATTTGTTCAAACTTGCTTCATTGTATTTTTTCTAAATTGACCAGGTTCATTGTAATGATTTTACAGATACGTTTACGTTACAAACCGGCTGAAGCTTCAAACAGATTATGGAGGAAAAATTAAAACATAGCAAATAAATGTTTATTTAAGATAAATGTTTTTGATGAAAAGTTAACTAAAAGAACTTTCATGTCATACAAGACAACAAAAAAGAGAACAAGTATTTCATTATACACAAACAAAACATATTGCTTCATAATTCTTTTTTATTATTTCGATGACATTTTAAGGCACTTCCAATTATAATGAAAATCGTATTTATACAGTTTTCCAATTCTTGTTTTATAATTTGATCAATATCTAGCGTAAAACGTGAAGATAATGAACAGCATTCTTGAAAAAGTCCAAATATAAGGATGAACAACACAGACCTCTGATAACATCAGTGATAGATGTACAAGTAATTTAGAGGAGTAAACACCCCCTGTCAAAAGGTCACACCCACCGTTAGTTCCTTTTTCAGGATCTGATAAACTGAGAAATCCGTGCAAGATTCAAGAACCTTACGTATGAAAACAGGCATTCAAAATTAGGGTTAACAAAGAGGTTGTTTTCAAACCAGGTTATTGATCATAGAATTGTTGACTTTAATTACGGGATTTATGATACTCACGTTGTTGTAACATATTCTTAAATAATCTGTCTCATTTGTTCGTATGAAGAACATGCTCTTAGACAATCAACTGGAAAACAACTCGAGCATCTTTTCAATATCAACATCAGATTACTTGCTTGCAGAATCAGAATGATTTTAACAAAGTAAATGACCAATGATAAGATATAAATTTGTTAGCTCATTAATTGAGAAAGCAGTTTTCTGAGTTGAAAAAGGTTTCATTTATCGTGGGGAATCGTTGAATAAATGTGTTTTATTGCTTCTGATTTTTGCAAAAAATCTTTTTTCCGGGAGAAATTTACTATGTTAGGAAAACAAACATATCTACGAGGGGCAATTCAAAAGTTCTGGCAACTGTTTAATAAAAAAATAACCGTTTTACGGAAGTTATTGAGTTTGGTATCATTGGAAAGATCAGAAAAATATACACCTATTGTGACGTCACTTTATAAATTTTATGACGTAATAACTCCGAAAATGACGTCAGAATATAGAATGTTTAGCATACTGAAAAGTTGCGTTTTTATCTATATGAGACGATTTTAAAAGTGCTGCCAAAGGCTTATTTGAAAAAAATATTTCAAACAAATTTTTAATTTGCAAAGAGGTAGAGTAGGACTATGATACTGTTTATCAGCAATTTCATTATTCATTGTATAGTCTGTATACTAGCACGGTTTATGTCCGGTTATGCTATCATCGACATTCATTTAAGATTCTTATTTACATGATACGGCTGGATTTTCGGTCTTTTATATAGCTCTCCATTGTTTGAAATAAAACATGTCCTGTATTAAACTGAAGTATATTAATGCAGTTTTCATCAAATATATTTTGAGTAATAGGACTCTTACCATTTACGAATAAAATGTATACTAAATCTTGCACCTGACTTGATTCTGTCCGTATTTTTTTCATATTAATTCAACTTCGGCGCCCCAAAACTCACTACTGCTTTTGACTCTTGAATCCAAAAAATAAATATAAGTTACACAGACATTTGAAATCTTATTCATTTTCGATGCATTAAAATTTGCGAATATGTGGAGGTACGGTGGGGTTACAACTGCGCTGCCGCCATTTTGGATTTTACGAGAAAATATGGGGCACACTAAACTTAACTTCTCTGGAGCCTTCATCGATCCCACAAATCTGGTTAAAACACCTGACGAATTTATGCCATCAAATTTTGGAACACGTACGATCGCCTATTTTTCTTTGATTGTCAACTTTGTCTTTTTCTCACAGTTACGTCCCTTTTACACAATAGTTTGAGCGAGATTCGATCAAAACATGCTAAGTCTGACACTCGCTAAAACCATTTCACAACAAAAAGATCTCCGAAATAGAACACCAAATGATAGATTGTAGTCTATGTAAACATTCTACCATCTTGCATTTGCGTCCGTTAGCTTGCGTCCGAGTAATGACCAAAAGTTGTCTTGAAAATTTTAACTTGATCAAGTTTTGTCTTTTGTTACGTCATTTTTATGGTTAGTATACTAAACATTCTATATTCTGACGTCATTTTTGGAGTTATTACGTCAAAAAAATTATAAAGTAACGTCACAATAGGTGTATATTTTTCTGATCTTTCCAATGATATCAAACTCAATAATTTCCATAAAACGGTTAATTTTTTATTAAACAGTTGCCAGAACTTTTGAAATGCCCCTCGTACTATTCAGCTGAGATTGTGTAAGATAAATTATTTCTGTTTAATATGTTCTATCCACTAGAATGTTATCATAAGAAAAATAAGGAAATTTTATGATTTCAATGCATGTTCTGTGTACTCTGGAATCGGACAATGTGACAAATCAATGAAGAAGTGACAGTTTACTAATATTGTACAAATACAAATTCCTGTGTCTCTTATCAACTATAACCGGAGTCAAAACAAATGATATCTACCTAATATGGGTCTCCTATCTGACCAGATTAGGTAGATCGATCAAACCCGGCCAAATGGACAGAAACCTGATTTAGGCATGTGCACTAGCTCTCAAAAATGGAAAGCCTCTACCTGGAAATGGTGCATGTTTTGATAAGATAAAGAAAGTTTTTGTCTCTGAGGTTTTAAAAGTATCCGTCGGGTAAGTTTTTACCCCTTGAGCCTGTCATGAATTCTTAATTGAATTCATACAGTTTTGTTTTAATTGATGATTTCATCCATCAGATAACCTAAAAATAGGCAAATATCTCATTTTTGGCAACAATTTGGATATTTTTCCCGCTGTGTGTCAAAAAATGAAATACTGCTTTTGATTTAGCGCCATAAATCTTTACAAATTTCCGAAGATATAAAGGAAACATTCGCTAACGTACATTGTAAATTTAATTTTCAAAGGGCTGTTATCATGAGTGCGGATAAGAAAAGGCGGTCGTCCAAGGTGGGCGATTCAAATATGGAGATGACAGCAGTTCAAAATAACGAAACAAAGCAAGAAAATGGGAAACAAGAAAATGGGAAGGTACCGAAAGAGGAAACGAAGACATCGACGAAAGACGACAAGAAGACGGACAAGCCTAAAGTGATAGCCGTGAAAACTGCAGAGTCGAATCACCATGATCCCAATATTGTGGACAAAGTGGAAGAAATAATGGAGGATATCCACTGCTGTATCCGGGTTCAAAACAAGATGTGCTTCAAAGTGTTTGTATTCCTTGTGGTCCTTGTTCTAGACAGTGCTGATCTGATTTCTGATTGGCTGCTTTTCCGTGATGTGTTCATCACAGAGGAAGGTCTTGTGTATGGACCCCCGGAAGATGCGCTCACGTACGCTTTACTAGCTTTCTCTATTTTGGGAACGCTGACTTTTATTTTCGAGGTGGTAAATCTTTGGTGGGAGATTTTCCGAAATAATCCCTGGATTGATTCAGATCTAGCCTCAACCATCACCATATGGATAGAGGACGTACCACAAATTATCATTAACGTTCTGATCGTTTTATGTCGAGAGGAGGCCATTAGTTACTTCCAGCTGGTCAAGGCATCTGTTTTAATCATCGGAGTTGTTATAAGAATTATTGTATCTCTAATTCGATATTGCTCGAAAAAGAATCTAGAGGAAGCTAAAAAACGAACCGCGGAATCACGGCGTCACGTGGCATATAGGGTCTTCATCATGTTTGGGTTGATATGTATATTAGCTGGGTCAGTCGCTGTTTTTATGCTCACACAGTTTGAAAGACACCCGGATGGAGCTGTACAGTTCAATTTACCGAAAACAGCTTTTGAAGGAAAATTCCACGAAGAGAAATACTTTGATAACGTCAGTATATATCTAAACCATCCAGTATTTGACACGAGCACTGGGAGTTCTCAGATTGCTTTTATTCGTTTGATTAGCATCTATGACATCAGAAATAAGGAGGACAAGATTTTCAAACTATCGTATAAGGAAAGTTCAAAAGATAAGTTCATCATATGGGAATCTGATAATAGTGGAATTCTTCAGGCAAAAGAATGCTTTAGGATCAACAAAGGCAACAAACATGTCACTATAGATAATCCTTGTTCCACGTCTTATATTTCTTCTCCATCTGATTTCACATTTAAGTTCCATTTTATAAAACCTTCCATACCAAAGCTGATATTTGGTGATATAACATATAACGTCAAGGTTAAAGAGAGTAACGTATGTCGTGATCCATCTACAGATATCGTTACCAAACCAAACAAACGTACAGGAAGCGGAAACACTCGATCTCCCGTGATACATTACTACCGCGCCCATATAAGCTCGGACTCGCATCTCCTGACAGATAAGTTATACCAGTACCCAGATGACTTAACTGACATAGCGGAAGTGTGGAAGACAGGATTCGCTTCCTGTGAAAGTTCGGGAAGTCTGGCACCACATAGAGACACATCATTGTTGACTACCTGCTCATAAATTTGAAAAAGGGAGATAAATCCTTTGACAAGCATTTTTTGTGTGGGTTTAGGCATGTGTGGTTCTGAAAAAATTTAACTGACATTTTTTTGGAAAAATATCATTATTGATGCGATTATTAATGCAAATGCTACATTAAGGTTTGTCTTTAGATACAAAAACTGTAACGAAAGTCGTGAGATATCTTTTATACATGTATCTAGATGAACTCTTTGCTCTCCAAAAACCCTTCTTTACTACATCAAATTTACAGCAAGAATATAACACCCGATACTTTTTTCTCCTTCTGTTGATAAATATAACGTTGCTAAATTGACGTTGAGTAAATTGCACAAGAAGCAATTTCAATGCACAGTGAGGGGGGAGGGGGATCCGTTGAAAAATACGCATTGTAAAGTGTATATTGAAAATTGTGTTTGCTCTTTCCTCCAAAATTCTATAGGTTTAATCGATTTAAATAAGATACACATGTAGAAATTCTCAATGAAATCAAAAGAGTAGATCTCCCTTCTGAATTATGATATTCAAGAAAAAGACGTGCATGCACAATAAGATATCACAATTTATATTTTTTCATTGGTAAGAGTATTAATGATTTTTCTGAAACGATTTTAAGTTCTATAAGTATATATATCAAGAAGTGATGATACACAAGATTCTACTAAAACTTTGTTCGATCCAACATAAGAATCTTCAGACATAAATAAAATACCTCCTTTTTCTGTTTGGCGTATTCAAACTTAAAATCTCTTATTATACCAAAGAGAAAATAAATATAACTTTTGAATGACTGTGTTTTGATGAAATTCGGAACACAGATGTTTTGTTTTTAGGAGGGATAATTTCTTTTCCCACATTATTTTCTCCTCCAATATTGTATCTGTAAATGTTGTTATCACTGCAATATTGTTACTATCGTAAGGTTTATTAAAGAAAACATAATATATGAATTGTCATTTATAAGTACTTTTTAAAATTAGCAGTGAGCAGTTGGTAACAAAGGCATTGAACAGTTTGCTGGAAGCATTGGAAGAGCTGGTGGCTGTCGTATATGGAATTATTATTTCATTACTTCTAAAAAAAAAATAAATCCAAAATATCGATAAATGATGAGTTTTTAATTTGTTTCCTTTGTAAAGTTATACTTTGTTGGTAACAAAATCAGTCACATTTTTCTCTGAAAAATATATACTTAAAACGGGCAAGGGACAAGGGATTTTTTGATTCTCTGTTACTGTTATTCATACGAGCTGAAAGCTAGGCTGATTCTTTACTTTAATATGTATTACTACGTTAACATTACATACACTGTAGTTTGTTCCCTAGAATTTTGTTTCTGCAATTAATTGAAACTTACAGAGTGAGTACCCAACCAATGGAACGTCCACTACATCATGGAATCAGTGTCTAACTCGAACCCAAACCAGCCCCGAAATAAGGCCCCATCAAGGACCTAGTCCTCAATGCGTGATCAAAGTTTTACATACTAAAAAAATCTTAATAAATCTTCTCCTCAAGAACTCAGATCTTTGATCTGTCATATTGATATGGTCCAAGCGTTCTCAGGTAGTTGTTCTGTGGGATTAAAGGTGCTTAGGCACAGATTTGAACGTAGTATTTTCTCCAATTTATTTCTGTATAAAATCACCACTTATATATTGCAATAGCATTTCACACGAAAATATGATAAAAAAAATTAATTTATCTGGAAATTATTGGGATTACGAATTCCGGGATGCGTTTGATTAACACATCCTTGCACTTTCTCAAATTTTAACTTTATAATTAGTACTTAAGAAAAAGGGATTATGTTGCGTATTAATGAAAATATTGCATCTTTAATCCTGAAATTTCAGAGTAGAAATGTTTGGGGGAAAAAAACCCACCCACTAGTCATTCCATGCTCAGTGTTGTGTACAGAGTTTATCAAATTGAATACATACGTGAAACGTAAACAAGCTAATTCAGAGAATTCGTGTCCCCCGCTTAGGGAAAAAGTCGGATCCCCCTGACTGAATTTGTAAAATTATTAAATGTATACATGTATACTGAAGCAAATAAAATACATGTACGATGTCAATATGCATATAAAGATTTGATTGCTTATTCTTTATTATGTGTATAGAAGATTCTTTTTATATATAATATATATCACACTGTAATGATGATTTTATAACCTCGTAATTTTTTCATTTCACATGCTGAATACTATCATTTAGTAAAAAAAAAGAAAAGTATTTAGAAAAAAAAAATAAGGATCGACCGAAATTCGAGCCCGGGACCTCTCACATGTGAAGCGAGAGACATACCACTAGACCACGGAGTCGCTTTACATGGTGACAGGTATATATATGCAGAACTAAAGTCACATACATGTATATATTCATGCTCGGTATTCTCAAAATTTTACACAATCCATGGTGTTTGATTTATTTAGCCTTTCTTAAACAGTTCTAATAGATGTAATAAGAATATAAAGTCCGCCGAGAACCTGTTTTATACGCAATAACTCTCCTCATGCCCCTGTGCTAAAAATAGCGACATGTAATACTATAAATACTAATAAAACAAACGGGGCGGGGCACTTTGAGAAGGGTGAGAGAGGTCCTAGGGAGTTTTGGTATAAAATTACATTGCATAAGCTCAAAATCTTCTTGAAATATCGCCCGGAAATGATAGTGTTACACACAGACAGAATGTTCAAATTTACGACCTTGAATTTTGACCTTTTGACCTCAAAATCGATAGGGGTCTTCCTTCGGCCACAGGGAGTTGTTTTGTAAAATTTCAATGCAATAGCTCAAATGGTTCCAGAGATATCGTGTGGAAACGAAAGTGTTATAACAGACAGAATTTGCTTATTTATGACCTTGACCTTTGACCTTTTGACCTCAAAATCAATAGGGGTCTTCTTTAGTCCATAGGGAGTTGCTATGCCAAATTTCATTGCAAAAGTTCAAAGGGTTCTCGAGATGTCATGTGGAAACGAAAGTGTTACAGACAGACAGAAAGATGGACGGACAGATGGACAAACCCAAATTAATATCCCCCACTTTTCAAGCGGGGGACAACTAGCGCACGAGCTCTGTTATTGTTGTCCCCCGGTTTCGCGAAAGCGAGAGTACAATAAATATAATGCGTCTGTCAGTCTGTAACCTTGGTCATATCTTTTGAATGAGAAGAGATAGGGCTTTCATATTATACATGTATATTACCTGTGACAAGACCTTTCTAAATAAACTATGATTTTTGACCCCGTGACCTTGAAATTTGATCTACTTAAAAAACTAAACATTACATTTAATTGGTCATAACTTTTAAATGAGAGGAGGTAGGGCTTTCATATTATAAAAAAGTATTAACTGTGACAAGACCTTTTTAGTACACTATGATTTTTGACCCCGTGACCTTGACATTGAAACTAGAACTTTAACCTTGTTCATGACGTATGAATTAGAAGAGATAGGACTTTCATAATAAAGATGTGTATAATCTGTGGTAAGATCTTTCTAGATACTTTATCATTTTTAACCTCGTTACTTTGACCGAAGTTTGACCTACTTTTTAAAAGCTTTAACTTTTCTCATATCTTTTGAATGAAAAGAGATAAGGCATTCATATTAAATCCGTGTATTGCTTGTGACAAGACCTTTCTAAATATATTACGATTTTTCTTTTTGTGACCTTGTCCTTAAACTTTGACCTATTTTTCAAAACTGTTAATTTTTACTTATAACTTTTGCTTGAGAAGTGATAGGACTTTCATATTTGAAATGTGCATTTCCTGTGACAAGATATTTCCGAGCTTGCTATGATTTCTAACCCCTTGACCTTGACCTTTACGATTGACCTTATTTTAAAGAAAATCAACTTCGGTGATAACTTCTGAATTACATATGAAAGGGCGTTCATATTTGACACAATATCTCATCCACAAAGACACCGAAGGCGGGGGACCACAATTTTTTGAATTTGCTTGTTAATGTTTACGATTCGCTGGGTGTGTTCAATATTGTTTCTCTGTACACACCATTGAGCACAGACTGACAATGCTGTGGGCGGGTTTTGCTTTCTCGCATTTCTACTAGCTCCAAATTGCCACTTTTCTTATTTAAGTGTTAAGAGTAAAATAAAATTTTGTGAAAGCAGGGACCTATATACACTATATTAGTATAAACGTCCCTAGTGAAATTGCAAGGATGAGTGACTCGGAATCGAACGAAATGAGTACAGCAACCATGTAAGTCATGAAATTATACAAAAAAATTGAGAAAATATTAAAAATATAAATCTGTGACCAAGCACCTTTAAAGTTTTATAATATAAATGGAATAATTAAGGATAAGATTAGTTTGTTTTCATTTGCTTTGAATCATCCTCACAAAGTGTTTGTAAATGTCTTCTCAAAATCTTGCACCTTCCATGTGATAAAAATAAGAAACAAGCCGCAGAAAATAAGAGAAACAAGTAATTAATTCATTAATTTTAAGAGCAAGTAATAAATCCTGCATCCGTAAGGTTTCTCCACCTCCCCACATATTTTTGACGGTACTTTATCCGAAACAGTCTTCGTTGCTATTATCAATGCCGAAACATTTGTTGTACAACTGAAATAATATTACTGTTTCCGGTTGTGGTGGACACGAAAATGGGAAACCCCAATGTAAATCTTAAGATGGTCATGATCGGCAAAATTTGATACTGTTTTGGGAGAGAATATTGTTATCATTTCGAAATGGCGACCAGAAGTTTAACAGAAGTGTTTATTTTGATGCGTAACAATGCGCTTCAAAGCAGAAACATGTTTTCAGAACAGGTTTGTAAACTGACTTGATGAATATATTTTGATTTTGAAAGATATTTTATTCATTAGAGTTGTTTATTTTGTTGGATGAACATGTATTAATTAACATCTTAAAAGTACTCACTAATAATCGACCTTAATGAAGGTGTCTGGTTTAATCATTGATCATAGACTTATTTATCAGGTACAGCTTACGGCATTATCCTGTTATTCGCTCCGCGGAGTGAATAATATTTGACGTTGTTGACGTAACGTCAAAACATTCCTTGGATCACAGGAGTCTGAAGTTTTAATCGTCCAAAAAAAAAAAAAAAAAATCCGGAAAAATTTTTTCCTACCCTCAACTAAAAAAACCCCAGGATGGCAACGTGTTTTGGGGTGACCCACCTAAACAAATAAATCTGGGCTTGGCCAGAAAAATCTCGCGACTAATTCAGTTTCCGGAGCGTTTTTGTTATTCATTTAATGTGAAAAATTCAATCTGCTTGACGACTACGGGCCGTTCCTAGCCCCTTTTCCATTTGACAGCTCATCCTGGACTCCATGCCACTAAACCGGAAGAGAATCTCGCAGTGTATATTTGACGTTTATGAATACTTGTTCAAATGAAATAAAATAAATAATTGTTCAACGTAATTTTATTCAGTTATTTTAAATATATTTAAGAGAACTTTAAAAAGTTATTTATTCTTTTTCTTACTTGTACGACGATGTGTACCAAGGACAGATAATTCAGTTTTTACAAGCGCCAAATTTAAATCACTGAAAAGCCATGTCGACAAAGAGCCAGACAGTTAGACTAAGCGCCCTTATAAAGCATTATTTTGTTTGAAAAATATATCTTTTTATTGATCACGTATGGTAACATAAAATTGTACATGAAGTTTTACATGCATTTTTTTTTGGTTCTTTTCTTCAATTACGTCATATATTCACCTCTAAGTTCACTTCCGGTTTAGTGGCATGGAGTCCAGGATGAGCTGTCAAACTGGAAAACAGGTCATGAACAGCCCGTAGTCGTCAAGCAGATTTGATTTCTTAACTTGAATAAATACAAACACTCCGGATACTAAATTAGTTGCGAGATTTTTCCGACCAAGCCCAGATCTATTTGTTTAGGTGGGTCCCCCCAAAACACGTTGCCATCCTGGGGTTTTTTTTAGTTAAGGGTAGGAAAAAAATTTTCCGGAATTTTTTTTTTTTTTTTTTTTTTTTTTTTGACGATTAAAACTTCAGACTCCTGTGCTTGGATGCAGAAATAGCAAATAAAACTAAAACAAACCTCAGTACGATCCATTTATCTTAGGTCAAGGTCGAAATTAAAAATAAGATCTCAGGTGAAACTAATAACAGTAATGAGAAAATGCATTCCTTACTAACATTTATATAATAAAAATGCAAATATCAAGTGTTTTGTTATTCTTAAAATTTAAAGAATACAAATGTATGAATTAAAGAAATCCAAAACATTCTCCGTTTTCATATCATATATTTAATGAATGAATATAGTGTGAAAATTATTCGCACCGGTGCGAATAACAGGAGTATATATATACAGTCGAAGTTCCAGATTTCAAGCTAAATGCCCAGGAAAGGGAAGTATTCCCGGGAAAAGGGTTTCTTTGGGGGAGAGAATATAAAAAAAATGGGGCTTGGATATTTTTGGGGGGAGACACTCGAAAATACATTTAATGAATGAATATAGTGTGAAAATTATTCGCACCGGTGCGAATAACAGGAGTATATATATACAGACGAAGTTCCAGATTTCAAGCTAAATGCCCAGGAAAGGGAAGTATTCCCGGGAAAAGGGTTTCTTTGGGGGAGAGAATATAAAAAAAAATGGGGCTTGGATATTTTTGGGGGGAGACACTCTAAAATACATTTAATGAATGAATATAGTGTGAAAATTATTCGCACCGGTGCGAATAACAGGAGTATATATATATACAGACGAAGTTCCAGATTTCAAGCTAAATGCCCAGGAAAGGGAAGTATTCCCGGGAAAAGGGTTTCTTTGGGGGAGAGAATATAAAAAAAATGGGGCTTGGATATTTTGGGGGGGAGACACTCGAAAATACATTTAATGAATGAATATAGTGTGAAAATTATTCGCACCGGTGCGAATAACAGGAGTATATATATACAGACGAAGTTCCAGATTTCAAGCTAAATGCCCAGGAAAGGGAAGTATTCCCGAGAAAAGGGTTTCTTTGGGGGAGAGAATATAAAAAAAATGGGGCTTGGATATTTTTGGGGGGAGACACTCTAAAATACATTTAATGAATGAATATAGTGTGAAAATTATTCGCACCGGTGCGAATAACAGGAGTATATATATACAGACGAAGTTCCAGATTTCAAGCTAAATGTCCAGGAAAGGGAAGTATTCCCGGGAATAGGGTTTCTTTGGGGGAGAGAATATAAAAAAATGGGGCTTGGATATTTTTGGGGGGAGACACTCTAAAATACATTTAATGAATGAATATAGTGTGAAAATTATTCGCACCGGTGCGAATAACAGGAGTATATATATACAGACGATCTTTCCATGTTCAAGCTAAACTGGAATATTTGGTGGATATTCATTGTGAGAAAAGTATTTTTAAAATGGATGAAAATAGAGGTATACTTATTAGCACCGGTGCGAATAAACGGGGGAAGATTTTTACAAAGACCATACTGAGTATAACTGAACCATAGCAATAAGGTGAACACTATTCATGCATTCGGTCATTGTTCGTATTGTTAAGTAGTAAACGTGAAAGCGTGTTTTTCTTTTTCGATTTTTGTTATGGTATTCAATTTGAATTAGGTCTGATATAGTAAACAGGAAATAAAATCATGTATGTACAGAGATTCATTCACTGTTCGAATGATATTGTAAACTCACTTGGATATACCTGTACCACTTCAAGGCATGGATTCCTTAATTTATAGAACAATATAATTTAAGTAGCATAAAAATATGGTTTATTCCGTTACAGGTGTATAAATAAACATACAATTTATCACATTTCTACATGTTTTTGAGTCCTACGCAATGAAATTTAACATGTAAGCAAACAATGGACAAAACAAGAAGATATACCATGTGGTTTATTCCGTGACAAAACAAGCGTAAAAACATAACATATTACATTTTATTCCCTGATAAATGTATAAACATAAAATTATTCATGAAAATATTGTTTATTCCGTTAAATAATATAGAAATTAAATTGATAACAGTTTTCGTTTTCCTCATGCATATAAGAGACATTTACGGAATAAACGTTATATATACCAAATAATTCTCTCACATTTAAAATTTTACTCAATAAACCATGTAGTTTATTTCGTAATAAAACAAACATAATATATAACATTTTATTCCCTGATAAATGTATAAACATGAAATCATTTATGAAAATACTAGCTGTTTATTCCGTTAAATAGTATATATAGAGAGTAAATTAATTGATATCAGTTGCCGTTTCCTCATGCGTATAAGAGAAATTCACGGAATAAACGCTATACATTGCATTGAATAATTCTCTCACATCTAAAATTTTATCCAATATGCCCTGTAATGAAATTTAGTCGTGATAAAAAAATTACCACGGAATAAAGGCTAATATCTGAAAGTATTTATGTATTCTTTCAACATGTTCAAAGGCAAGTATAAATATGAAGAAAAACGTAACGTCAACAACGTCAAATATTATTCACTCCGCGGAGCGAATAACAGGATAATGCCCAGCTTACAGGCTTAGTCCGAAAAATCTTACATTTTCCAGGCTTTTTAAAGATTTTGATATTGTACGTGCCAGGAAAACGTCAGAACTGGCGGCATTATAAAAACTGGAAATTTCGCTGTCTCCAACTTGACTTGATTTTAGAAACATGCAAACCAAACCAAACGTCGAAATCTGAATTTATCAATAGCAAATGAATTAATGATTCTCGTACCCATCAATAAAAGAAGACATCTCTCCACATTTCCATACCATACAGGACTTTTAGATTTATTAATGCATGAAATGAAAACAAATCTTGACAGTGAGTCTGATAAAATGTTTTCGTTGGATTGTATATTTTATAACTGATTGTCTGAACCATAAAAATGATATTAGTAACTACTAAAAGTTTTGTTCTATTGATATATTTTGAGTTTGATATAAAATTCAGTTAGCAAGTATTAAAAATGAACCCAAGAATGCCGTCTCCGGTTGGAGGTGGCAAATTCCCATTTACAAAATGGCGCCATTTTCCTGGCATGTAAAATATCAAAATCATTAAAAAAAAACCTGAAAAATGTAAGAATTTTTGGACTATAGTCTACTTACAAATATAATCTGATTTTGCTATATAAATATTCAAGCAAGGGCTATATACAGCTAAAGCAAGTGATTGTGCCAGACATGTATTTAAAGGCTAGAAATAATAGATATTAAAATCATTGCTGCTTTTGCACAAATTTTCTTGAATTTAAAGAAGAGGTATTAAAGAAACATAAGCAAAAAAAAAAAAAAAACACGCAATGGACAAAGTTTGTGACATTCAAAAAATGGGCTGGGTCTGTACTGAGTTTTAATTTATTCCCTTGATTTCAGCTTGCTGATGACAGAATGGCCTTGGTTTCCAGTTGTCATGTTGATCCAGAGTTAGGAATAGCCAGCACCAAGTCTGCTAGACTGCCACCAGAATGGTAAGTAAGAAATAGAGAGCACTGAGTCTGCTAGACTGCCACCAGAATGGTAAGTAAGAAATAGCCAGCACCAAGTCTGCTAGACTGCCACCAGAATGGTAAGTAAGAAATAGCCAGCACCTAATCTGCTAGATTGCCACCAGAATGGTAAGTAAGAAATAGCCAGCACCAAATCTGCTAGATTGCCACCAGAATGGTAAGTAAGAAATAGATAGCACTGAGTCTGCTAGAATGCCTCCAGAATGGTTATATTCCTTTGAAATTTTTTAAAGTTTTACCTGAAATTGCAATAAGATTTTACTCTATTCGAAGCACCTCGGGAAATAGACTTGCTCTTGGGGAACTGGAATCTTGCTGACTCCTTCAATGATATACTTTAACTGTTTTATTATACCCTTACAAACAAGACATTTGAAAAAGTTATATTCAATACTCGCCATTTCTGTTATTGTTTGCTACCAGTAAACTTGTTCTTTTTGATTGATATGAGACCACTTGACTCACGATGCATTTCGATTCATTAATGAATTTCATGAGTTTATTCGGAACATTTATAAGTTTGTCACAAGTTTAAAGAAAATGCTAAGTGTTCCGAATAGGTGTGTATCAGTTCATAAAAACAAGAACTTTTTTTGCAGCAAATCAGTCTGTTTTGCAGGAAATTGGTTTATTCACGGTGATTTTCAGGAAATCAGAAAAATATATCGATTTACTTTTGTATAGTGAAAAATCAGTAGAGGTGTAATAAACCTATAAATATCACACAAAAGACTGATGTTTGTAATAAAGTACTTGTAACTCTTAATAATATGTTGTATATGGAATTGCAATTTTTTTTATTGGTGATATAACTTAATTATAACCAGTATTCAGTAGTAACTTTTGTATTGTAGGGTAGATGGCGTGGAGGAAGTCCAGTTTGAAATGTCAAGAATCAAGCAAAAAAGTGAGAAGATGGAAATTTATTTTTATCAGATGAGCTACATGTAGGCTACATACAATCATGTATATGACATTTTTTGTATGAAGTAATTTTACTGGGAGATATAAGATTTAGCAAGATCTATGTACTAGGAGTTATTTTAGGGTCAAAGGTTTTTTTTTTAGGTCACCTGAGTAAACTCAGGTGACCTATTGCTATCCGTTTTCGTCCGTCGTCATTCGTCGTGCTTTAACATTTAAACATTTTCAGCTTCTTCTCTGAAACCGCTGAACCAATTTCAACTAATTTTGGCATATAGCATCTATGGGTGAAGGGGAACAAAAATTGTGAATTTCATGGTCCCTGCCCCCCTGGGGCCAGGGGGGTGGGGCCAAAACAACTAAAATTAGTGCAATCTTTGAAAATCTTCTTCTTTACCCCTGGACATCAAGCAGTTAAACTGTTGGTATGATTGTAATGAGCATTGAGTCCTCTTATCAAAATTTTGAAATTCATGGCCCCAGGGTCAGGGGTTCTAGTGCTAGGGCAGGGCTATAGTGAAAATGCATTATTTCTTTGAAAATCTTCTTCTCTGCTTCTTGGTATTAAATAAACTAACTAATTGCATAGTTATGTTGAATAAGAGTGCCTCTACCAAAATTGTGAATTTTATGGCCTCAGGGTCAGGGGTTCTGTTGATTATATAGTGAAAATGCATTAATTCTTTGAAAATCTTCCTCTCTGCTTCTGGGTATTAAATAAACCAACTAAGTAAATAGTTATGATGAGCAAGAATGCCTCTTCCAAAATTGTGAATTTTATTGCCCCAGGGTCAGGGATTCTGGTGTTAGGGTGGGGCTCTATTGATTATATTGTGAAAATGCATTAATTCTTTGAAAATCTTTTTCTCTGCTTTTGGGTATTAAATAAACCAACTAAGTACATAGTTATGATGAGCAAGAATACTTCTACCAAAATTGTGAATTTCATGGCCCCATAGGGGTTCTGGTGTTAGAGTGCGGCTCTATAATGATTTTATAGTGAAAATGCATTACATCTATGAAAATATTTTTCTATGCTCTTGGGTAATAAGCAGATGAACTACCTATATAGTTTTGATGTGCAAGGGCTTTTCTTCCAGAATTGTGAATTTCAAGGCCCCTGGATCAGGGATACCAAAGAGGGGGGGTCTACTTATATACTGAAAATGAATTGTTTAAAATTTGCTCCTTGGTATTAATCAAACATTTTTGAAAACCAAGTGTGCCTTTTCAAAAATTGTGCAATGTGTAGACCTAGGGTCAGGGGTTCATGTTTGGTTGGGGCTCTTCTGATTATTGCTGAATATTATTGATTAGTTGAAATGTATTTTTTGTTACCCTACCCTGCCTATGGGTATTAAGTAAACAAACTAAGCAATTGCTAAGTGTATAGTTATGATTAGCAATGGTGCCTCTTTCAAAATTGTGAATGCCATAGCATCTAGCTTAAAACATGAACCAAATTCAATCATTTGAAAGTTGTTGCATGATGCTCAGGTGACCTATAAGGCCCATGGGCCACTTGTTTCAACTTGTGTTTAAATTTTTTTTCTATGATGTCTTACAGAACACTAAATAAATGGAAGGCATCTGGGCTGTGCTGACAGATAAATAATTCTCTTTACCAAAGCATTAATTATTATGCGGCTATGCCCTGCATTTAATGCATTTATCATTAAGGACAGATATTGCAGGTTCAGGCTATAGAAGACAGATTTACAATGTATTTTTATTGCATAATTTTATACAGATACCTGCATGAAAGCTCTTCTTTTGAATTTTCAGTGAAGGAGCTTGCCACTCTTCATGACAAACATTTGAATCGTCCAACACTTGATGATAGCATTCAAGAAGAACATACCATAGAAATCATGACAGGAGAAATCACACAAGTAAGTTTACATCATAAATTAGAAAACCATGAAGAATGCTTGATATCCTGTTTTCTTTTGTAATTCAAGTTCTGAATTAACCTGATGATTTCCAGATGTTCACCAGATGTCAGAGATTGGTTCAACAGATCAGCAGTCGAAGTGTTCGGGGGACTGAACAGGAGAAACGACTGTCGTCCAACATTGTATCGTCTCTTGTCCGATCACTGCAGGAAATGTCCACCAACTTCAGAAAAAGCCAGTCTGTCTACTTAAAAAGTAACTCTCTCTTTCCCACTAAGCAAAACACAACATTTTGTGTTTAAATTTCAATGTATAATTATTAATGTTGCAAAATCACGGCGGGGAATCTACGTCATCGTAAGGGATTAGGACACACAAAAATGGAGGACAAATGCTCCGCTTCGATGTAAGAAATTGATATTTTTGCACTTATAAAGAATGGATATTAAATCCGTATCCTGCCTAAAGTATGCCAAAGAACGTCAACTACAATATATATTGTACGTTTGTTTGTGATGGAATCTTATTGCTCCAAACACTTCGACACAGTTTGAAAACAAGTGAGAAAAACCCGGGATGTGGGGCACACATTTTTAAAATTCGACCTATTATTCGCATGTCCAGATGTACTAGACATTTTATTCTTCCGCGTTTACACTAGAACTAATATTTTAAAAAGTCAAGATTTGTTTAATAGTTTATTATGCTTGAATTATCCAAGAAAAAAGTATAAATCATTTTGTTTTCAGAAATGATGTAGGGCACACCAACACTAAAACGGATATGGGACACACAACAAGTTACTTTCAAATTGAAACATCGAGCATTCATATCTTAATGTTTCCATTTAAATGACTGCTGTTTGGTAGTATATGAATAATGACTCCTCCACTGTATCATTCAGTTATTAAAGCTATGCTAATTTACTGGTTTCGACTAAAACATTACATCCATCCTTTGTCCTACTCAAAGAAGCATACTCAGTCTAAAAAAGCCTCTTTTTAGAAAATAAACCATCTTGGTTTGCATCCATTGAGACAATTTTGGGTCATTTAACTGCTTTCAAAAATATTGACTTATCAAAATATAGTACTTGTTCATTTAAAAAGAAGTCATCATGTATTATGAAAACGATATCACGTGAGCTGTATCAACGGGATAAAGGGTTAAACATCGGATAAAAGACAATATTTTATAAACCAATGGTATAGAGAAAATAGGCAGCAAAATGATGGTAAACTAAGAACTTATTACATCTTCAAAACCAATTTTGGAAGAGAACACTTGTCAAGAACTATGATCAGAGGAAAAATAGAACTAAACTTCGCATTTCTGCACATTAATTAAATATTGAAAGGGGGAGATATGCAGGACTTCCCCCTGAGTCTAGAAAGTGTTCTCAATGTAATATACAGGAAGTTGAAGATGAACAACATTTTTTGCTTATTTGTCCAAAATACAGCAATGAAAGGTTGCAAGTAATGGAAACAATATCAAAAATCAACCCAAATTCTCTTCTTTGACAGTCCTGCTGAAAAACTTATATGGATATTGAATAATAAAAATAAAGAAATTTTATGCTTACTTGGAAAATTTATGTCTGAAAATGGTAAAAGAACCAATGTATAAATACGTAGATTCTGTCATCATGTTTATGCATGCTAAGCCATTTAAATTTATACATGTATAGCATCACATTTTTGTATTGTTTTGTGATCATTGACATTCTTCTGGACACTTGTATTAATTATGTATGATCATTGACACTGAGAACAATATTATTATGTAACTTGGTCATTTATATAACTGTTTAAAAAAATTATATTGTTAAAAAAAAGAATGTTTAAATTGCTTGTATCCATACAAAACTCAAATATTATTAGTTGAAATGGTCTGCGTGATCCTCAACAAAAGCTGCCAAAATGAATTTCAAATTTTGACTTTTATTAAATATCATATTGAAAGATACTAGTATATACATGTGCGGATCTAAAAGGAGGGTTGAAGTCCGGAGTCTACGTGTATGTATATTTTACGTACTCTACGATATTTCTATTTAAGTAACACGACCCAGACCCTATTGAATACACATGAAATAGCTCTTTTTAGGTTGATTGTTTAATTTCTTTGCTTGTAAAAATACCTTGGAGTCAGAACTTTTTTTAGTTTATGTGGACCCCCCCCCCTCGAAAAGTTTCTGTATTCGTATATTCAGTGTTTGTATTTATTACATCTTTGTCGGCAAGACTCTAGTATGTCAGCTGATAGCAAGCGGAGATTAAGGAACTTTTCTAATGCTCAAATATTTGCAACAGCTGACAAACTTGTGTCAAAATTCTAATAGTTTATTTTCGACTCCATATTTGAGAAAAAAAAAAAAGACAAAGTTGAATATTGTACTTCGAAGGTGGCTAAATTGAAAAAAAAACAACAACAATTATTGTTTTATTATACATGTATGAATCAGTGATTAAATATTACGTACCCATAAAGCAGTTCATTCCATCTTCTTTACATTTGCTGGAATATTGGCCAAAAGCAATGATAGGAGCAGGGATAAATAAATAATACTATGGCAGTATAAATTGGGATTTTTTGTAAAAAGTACTGTAGTAGCTGTACCAAAAAAAAAAAGAAATAATGTCAAGCTCTTTTATAGGATAAGTTTTGGAGGGGGGGGGGGCATTATCAGAGAAAAATGACAGCTAAAAGCCTTTGATTGGCAACAACGAAAAGACAATTTTTAACTTCCATTTTTGTTTTGGCCCTCCCCATCACTAGCAACCACTTTCATATATTCGATTACTAATTTTATGTTCATCTGAGTGCAAGTTAGGAGCAAATAAAATTGCTTTCCGAAACTATGTGTTTCAATTTGGAATTTCCCGATGTATTTATAGACCATTGTAGCATGTGTAGGGAAAAAAAATTCTTATATTCACCTGGAGGGTCAGTTGTTGCAAATATTTGAGCATAAGAAAAGTTCTTGATCTCTTTCCCATATTAAAAGACATGCTAGTGCCCAAGATCTTATTATTAATATCAATATGCAGATTTAGGAACTTTTTTCGGGATGGAAAAGGGAGGGGGGGGTCCACACAAACTCCAAAGAATTTTCTGACTCCAAACTATTTTGACAAGCAATAGAGTAAACAACCAACCTAAAAAGAACTTATTTCGTGAGTGTGTGTGTATTTTTATTTTGTTTTTGTGTTGTTGTTTTTTTTTTTGGGGGGGGGGGCGATGTCGTGTAACTTAAAATAGAAATATCATAAAATAAACACAATCTCCGGACTTCGGCCCCCCACTTTCTATAGTATAGATATGCACAAGTGAACACCGGTAAATTTCTACATGAAATTTAATAAAAGTCAAAATTTAAAATTCTTGTTGGAAGCTTTTGTTGAGGAATAGACCAGCATTTTCAACTTATATTTTTTGTTTGGATACAAGCAAACCAAGGGAATCAAGTATATGGATGAGTATTATAAAGATGAATTTTACAGGTTATTGTTTATATACTATCTAACTGCAGTCATGTAAATGGAAACATTAAGATATGAATGCTCGATGTTTCAATTTGAAAGTAACTTGTTGTGTGTCCCATATCCGTTTTAGTGTTGGTGTGCCCTACATCATTTCTGAAAACAAAATGATTTATACTTTTTTCTTGGATAATTCAAGCGTAATAAACTATTAAACAAATCTGGACTTTTTAAAATATTAGTTCTAGTGTAAACGCGGAAGAATAAAATGTCTAGTACATCTGGACATGCGAATAATAGGTCGAATTTTAAAAATGTGTGCCCCACATCCCGGGTTTTTCTCACTTGTTTTCAAACTGTGTCGAAGTGTTTGGAGCAATAAGATTCCATCACGAACAAACGTACAATATATATTGTAGTTGACGTTCTTTGACATACTTTAGGCAGGATACGGGTTTAATATCCATTCTTTGTAAGTGCAAAAATATCAATTTCTTACATCGAAGCGGAGCATTTGTCCTCCATTTTTGTGTGTCCTAATCCCTTACGATGACGTAGATTCCCCGCCGTGAAAATGCAAAAATTAAACAAACAAAAATGTCTGAAGGGGATCACTGCTGTATTACATCCATAGAAAATATTGGCCACTATTCTTAATTACAGTTTTAATATTTAATTGTAAATTTTAGATTTAAGAGAAATATTATCTTCAGTTTCTTTTGTAAAAAAAAAGATTCAAAATGCAGTAAGCTTGTTTCTTATAACCAAGATTTGACTATTTTTCTCATTCTAACTTTTGTACTAAATTGATGCACAATAAACTTTTAAAAGTTTTTCAAACATTTTTTGATAAGGTGTGTTTGATAAAATATTGTAATAATAAGACAAATATGTAGTAAAACATATGGGAATTTCTTCATCAACTTGAAAAATGGACAAAATTTGTTCAACAACTTCAAAACAGACAACAGTAATTCCCCTTCTTAATATGGGCATAAAATTGATCAGTGCTGCAGTGCAGAGAAGTAAACATTGCATTTTATTAGCTTTATCATGATTTTAACAAGCTTGTTCGATTTAAGTCTTATTAGACTAGTAGTATATAAAGAAATTTGAATTTTGAAATTCAATTTTAACATTTATCAAGACAAGAAATGTTGTTATTTTACTACTGCACATATTTTGATAAAAAAAATTGTACAAACATACAGTCAGAAGTTTGCAGTAGGTGTATTGGAATTTTTATGATATTTTTGTCTTTCACATTAATTTTCATTATCAGCTGTCTATGATATAATTTTTTCAGAAATCAAATCTCGGGAGGAGAGATCTCGTGAGTTTTTTGACTCCAGTATTGGCCCTGACTCAGCATTAATGCAGGAATCCGACCTTTTCTCAGAACACTACGATAAGGTAAACAAAATAACACTCTATAGTTAAATTACTCTGATTATCTGCAAAGATAGATTCTATATTGTGCAATTTTGGAAAATTGATAAATATTGAGTCATGGATTTCTCATTCATAATTTCCTACGTAACAAATTCATATTTCAGAAACATAAGTAATTATCTTAATCAAGAACTAAGTCAGCCATTTTGTGTATAATGATTTCTTTTCCTAAACAGGAGCTGGATACTGGGGTAACAGTATTTACTTTGTATCAGAGAATCTGTGTTCTTGTATAAAGTTGATTGCTTAACTCTCTCAGACAGTATAACCACCTAATAATCTTTGCATAGTGAGAAGTAGGAGGCTACTCTCAGAAAATAATGTATTTAAATCTTGGCATAGTTAGAATGTGGGGGCAATAGAAATGTTTTGCAAGGTGCATGTAGATAAGTTGTTGAAGACACATGAAAGGAACCATGCAGCTATAACAGTTGTTAAAAGTGTAACCAGCACCATTATTGTTGATGAATGCCATTGACTTCTCATTGATTGGACATGTTTTACTAACTTGTACTGGATAAATGATAACAATGTCTGCCGTATGCTGAGTGTTGCTTGCTTTGTTTGTGATAGATATGGGAGAGATTCCAGTTTCATAAATACATACAAAATTACTCATTTTCCTCTCTGTAATGATTTATAATAATCTCTGAGGATTTCATTGATTTCCATCATTTGAGAATTAGATTTTGATTTATACAAACTATAATGTAAAAAGGTCCAACTCCTCCTGATGCCGTTTATTGACAGGGTTTTAGTAAGGCCCAGATGCAATTAGTGGAAGACAACACAACAGCTGTCCGACATCGAGAAAAAGAAATAACACTAATTGTCAAATCTATTCAGGATCTAAATGACATTTTCCGTGACCTGTCACAGATGGTGGTGGACCAGGGCACTATTTTAGACCGCATCGACTATAACGTAGAGCATGCTAGTGTTCAGGTGGAGAAAGGACTACAGCAGTTAAAGAAGGCCGAAAAATACCAGAAGAAAAACCGCAAAATGTTGATCATCATCATACTCACATGTCTCATTATCATCTTAATTATTGTGTTAATTGGTGTTAAGAGCTAGTATTAGGTGTCCTGTTAGTCTTAACTATTTTGGTATTTCCTGTTATTTGTGTTGTGAAATGAAGGTAAGCAATATACAGTTGATGCATGGAGGCATGCATTGAATTTAATAATTAAAAATCAATCTCAAAACGTGTATATATAAAATTATAAAAAAAAAAAAGGACTTAAAGTTGTGATTTCTGAGCATGTACAAGATTAACTTTTGGTTTGAAAACAGATCTGCATCTCAGTAATGTCAGGGGTATTATATATTAGGACTCTTGTAATTAAATCTGAACACAATTCATAAAAGGAATTTTCCTTTTTCCTGCCATAATCATTTATTCTCTCTTTATATCTGAGGCCTCATTTAAGCCATTCACTTATTCCCAGTTTAGTGTAATCAACTTTCTTCTGTATAGACAGACATATACTACATCATACATAGGATAACTATTTGTAAGTTAAAAACTTGGTAGAAAAAAATAACTGTGAGCTTCTTCCATGGCAGGAGAGTAATTTACTGAAGAACTTAAAACACTTGGACAGGTCAGTACAGTATACAAACAAAAATACAATAACAGCTATAAAATGTAAACAAAGGTAAATGTAAGATGACCAATTGTTCATTCTATGCAGGGACTCATTGCAAGGAAGTAGTCAGATGTATTAAATGTGAAGGGTATACCCCATTGCTGATATCTGAGATAGGAAAACTAATATGGCACATGTCTTTTTATAATGGTGTTCAGCTTTAAGAACAATGAAAAGTAATAAAAACAACCTGAAGTGAATTAAAAACCTCTTCCTATTAAACACAAGTTTCCTTTACATCTAATTTCTACTGAATCTTGAGATAATGTAAATCTTAATCTCATAGTTTCTCTAAGAAACTTTGAAGAAATTATTTGATGTTTGATTATTGGAGTTTTATGAAAGCAACTCTACTGGAAATATACATGTATTTTAAAATATTCGAATACTAGAAGTTGATTACATATTTTTCTTAAATTTCCTGACATAATTTTGACCCAGGCACAGGGTTAATCTCTGTGTTCTCTATCACAGTTCACACATACATTTTATGTACATTAATAACATGTGTTATAGAGAACAAGACAGATACCACATGTCCCCATACTCCAGATGTTTCATTTCCTAAACATAAGTTTCATACCAGTATTTCATTTTAATAACATTAACATGTCTGACAGTGAAGAAAAGGAAACTTTATTCTATACATAGAAAATGTGTATTTGTAAATATCTATGTTATGAATTGAGGAATGGATTAAGAGATTTTCATTCAAATTGACATCAGTTAGGAATGAAAATGAAGTTAATCTTTGGAGAGAACAAACAATATAAATCAGAGAAGAAGGAACTAGTCAGTTGAAGTTGCCATCATTCCATTAGAGATGAGATTTATTGTAGTATTGTAACATTCCAATCTCTAATGTTTATTTTTAGCTCTACTGGTCAGAGACCAGAAGAGCTTATGCGATAGTAATGCGTCCGTCGTCCATCCGTCTGTCTGTCTGTCTGTAAACAATTTTTCAAAATGCTACTCCTCCTACAGTTTTGGTCCGATTTCAATATAACTTGGCACACAAGTAGACTACACTGAGATACATAATTTTGTGCATCGGTTTTTGATTTCGATGAACGGTGTTGCCGTGGTTACTAAAAATAGAAATTTCTGTGAAATTCTTTCAAAATGCTACTCCTCCTACAGTTTTGGTCTGATTTCAATATAACTTGGCACAAAAGTAGACTACACTAAGATACATAATTCTGTGCATCGGGTTTTGATTTCGATGAACGGTGTTGCCGTGGTTACTAAAAATAGAAATTTCTTTGAAATTCTTTCAAAATGCTACTCCTCCTACAGATTTTGGTATAACTTGGCACACAAGTAGACTTCATATTCTGTGCATCGGTTTTTACGATGAACGGTGTTGCACACAAATTCTTTCAAAATGCTACTCCTCCTACAGATTTGGTCCGATTTGAGTATAACTTGGCACACAAGTAGACTACACTAAGATACATAGTTCTGTGCATCGGTTTTTGATTTCGATGAACGGTGTTGCCGTGGTTACTAAAAATAGAAATTTCTGTGAAATTCTTTCAAAATGCTACTCCTCCTACAGTTTTGGTCTGATTTCAATATAACTTGGCACAAAAGTAGACTACACTAAGATACATAATTCTGTGCATCGGGTTTTGATTTCAATGAACAATGTTGCCATGGTTACTAAAAATAGAAATTTCTGTGAAATTCTTTCAAAATGCTACTCCTCCTGCAGTTTTGGTCTGATTTCAGTATAACTTGGCACACAAGTAGACTATACTAAGATACATAATTCTGTGCATTGGTTTTTATTTTGATGAGTGACAAGGATCATTTTTCTATTTATTGCTGATTTAAAGTCTCAAGTCCCAACTGCTACTTTTCTCTTCCTTTGTTTTAAGTATAAACCAGTAGAGCTACAGTCTCGACAGAGACTTCTGGTTTATTTATATATGTGTGCAATAATCTCCTTTTGCATTAAAATTTATCTTATATTAAGTTAACATATTTTTATGCAATACAATCAATGTATAAACTTCAGTAAACATGGCAAGCCACACAGGCCAATTTTCAGGGTTTTTTTCTTCAGAATTTTATCAGAACTTAGTGAGTTCATGACTTCTTAAATAATTGTTTAAAAAAAAACAACAGACAAAACTTTGTCTGGATTTTGAATTTTATGCTCTGTAAACAATTAGGAGAGGGTTATGTAGTAAAAGTGGATGTATAAGTACATGTATAAATGATTTTAACACATGTATTATTACAGTGTAGCTATGTAGTATAAGTGGGTATATATGTAATATACATATATTCTTGTGAACGAAGTATGTGGTTTTAACACCCATGTTGTTACAATGTTTTAGTTATCTGTGATATAAATATGTCAATAAATAAAAAAAAAAAATCTTTATTAAAAATACAAAACAAAAAAAAATATGCATGTAATTGTAGACAATCGGTTTGTACATGCATGGAATATATGGAGATGAAAAATACTGTAAACGTATTACATTTGGCTGTGTATTCTTTTTTAATAGCGCTTTTGGTGGAAAGCAAGTTCCGCTTATTCAAGTACAATGTTAAATATCTTGTACATATGCAAATAAAGAAGAATTTTATGAGATACGCTAAATTAAATTTCTGCTAAACAGTTCATTATTCAATTTCCGCCAAATATCGTAAACGCTAAATATAATACATTTACAGTATATGGAGATAACGAACAGTATACGGGCACAATACAAATTTGGAGTAGAGTTGTCACGAACATTCAAAATATCATAGGTGAGATCAGGTGCCATGGAGGAGTAAGCACACTTAGTTGTCAGGTCACACTGTGTGCTCCTTGTCATGATCCGGAAATAACGGAAATAATGTGTATATAATAGACTAACAATTAGTATGAAAGACTTCGGTCACCATTTGACTTCAAGATAAATTGTATTTGCTGACAAGGTCCTTTATCGACCATAGAGCTTGCGTAATGATCAACTTGTTTGTCAATATCTTACCTCGTTTTAGAAATTGTACATACTTAGAGCATGTTTTTACTTGTCGAATCAACTGCGAGTGAGAGATATAAACCGCGTGTGCAGGTGATAAGGGTATATGGCTGCATAAGTAAGGGAATTTGACGATTGAAATTTAAGTTAAAGTCATCAAGTTTATCATAGAGCTTGTTGTTAGATTGCCATTTACGTCTTTTTCTAGTTAAATATCCAAATATGAAACAGATATGTCAGACTCTGTGGTATCTTTAATTTCAGGCTCACCGGTATTCTAGTATATCGTATCGATATAACCAAATGGCTTTATCGGACTGGATGAGTTAAATTTTGAAGGAAAAAAAAATATTGTCAAGATTTTACCTTCTGTACGAGTATTTTTACTCATATGGAGACTTAATAAACCACATACCGTTGTAAATTAAAAACTTTTTTCTGGTGAAACTCATCTGATTGTTTAATATTCTGAATAAAAGAACTGGTTAAAGGTGCATGGACACAGATTTGAAGTGAATATTTTCTGTATAATATTACGACTTATATATTTTAATACATTTCACACAAAAATATATATATAAAAAAAAATCTTATTTCATCTAAAAGTTATTAAAATTTCAAATTTTTAGACGGGTTTGATTGACACATCCTTGAACTTTCACAAATTTTAATTCTATTCTTAATAATTAGGAAAAGTGGCTTTAAAAAGAGCAGAGCAAACACGAACCTCCAAAACATCGGAGGTAGGGATCAGGTACCATGGAGGAATGAGAATCCCCTGCCGACTGGGCACACCCGCCGTGTGCTCCATGTTGTGATCGGGAAATAACGAGAAAATCCGTCGTCAATTCAGTGTATAACTAATGAACTAACAAATACAAGTAGTATTAAAAACGTCAGTCATCATTTGACTCAATGATAAATTGTATTTGCTGACAAGGTCATTGTATCGACCATAGAACTTGCGAAATGATGACTTTATACGAGGCTTCTGAAAGTCTTGTTTCATCAACTTGTTCGTCATAATTTACCTCGTTTTAGAAATTGTTCATACGTAGAACATGCTCTTGTCGCAAACAGTAATCATGCTGTTCACAAGCTGGATCCTTTTTATTTTTGATTGTCAGGCTTGATTTTCATTAGAATGGCTCAAAAGTCCGTTGAAATAATACAAATTGTGAGCAGAGCAAACATGGACCCTTGAAATACTCAGCTTTGCGAAAGAAGTCGACTGTACTTTAATTGCAAACAATATCATTGTGTCGACCCTGGACTTTGCAGTATGTTGAATTATGATATAAAGTGCCTTTGCATCTAACTGATAGAAGTTTGTCTTGCTTTAGAAAATGTACATACGAAGAACATGTACATGTCATTTTGAATGGAACCAACTGAGGGCATAAATATGGAGGCGATCATTGCATATTGCTACACAAATAACATGAATAAGTGAAATAGACGATAGAAAAGTTGGTCATCTTTTTTATCATGAAGATCGGTTAATTACCATAGTTCACTTTTAATGTCTTTTCAATTAAAATTTCCAGATATGAAAGCAGATGTGTCCTAGTCTTTTTTTTAGTCTCAACGTATGAATTAAACCACTGTTATATTGTTACATTTTAATCTTAATTTACATAAATCGCTATAGTAAGAGTTATACTTCTAGCCCATTTTTTAAAAATACAAATTAAAAATCGATGGTCAGAGCATATCTTTGGTACGGACTTTTGACTTGTTTTAAATATTAAAAATAAACATCAACGCCGTGCCATAGTGCATGTTAGGAAATTCCCTGGGCCATAACAGCTAGTAAACAAAGCAATGCTCCATTCCAGTAAAAATTGGTAAGCTTCCAAACATTTTTTAAACGAGTATTTAATTTGTTTTTAAAATCGTCGATCTTTTCGTCAGCTCTTTTATCATCTTTTATTCTTTTCCGAGTCTTCGACCCGCCTTTGATAATTTATACTTAGCATAGATTTGATAACTTTCTACGGTGGGCCAGTGTCGTCATATTTTAAGTCGGCTAACTCGAATATGAAATTATTCCTGTTTTGAACAATGAAATGAGACCGTAAATAATTAATTACACTTGAAATGTTAAGAAGTGTGGTAGTTAACTCTTTACAACTTACTGAACTGTTATGCAACATAAACTTAATGTTCACGTCATAGAAATATGACGTTACCTTTTCTCCGCAAGCACTTTCTAGCGCGGTACTTGTAAGTTTCTCTTAAGTTTAGCGTAAATAATATTATGATCTAATATTTTAATCAGAAAATAACTTTTCTTATTTTATGAGATTTTAGCAACCATAAAATAAAAGGAACTTGGCATTTAATTGAAGAAGACTTCGTGATTGCGCATGCAGGGAAACGGTATATACGTGTTTCTGCGTTAGAAGTAGGAATTGGTATATGCGTTCAAATGCGTTAATGCGGGGAAGGGGGTTAAAAGAAAAAATGAAATACATCAAAATTTCAAGGACACAAGCAATGCATTGTCGCACCTACGCCTAATTTAAATGCCGCATCCTCTAAGTTAATTGCAGGTTTACTGTATAAGGAAACGTCATATTTTAAGTCGACTAACTCGAAAATGAAATCATGCCTGTTTTGAACAATGAAATGTATACTAGTAATTAGTTTGATATGTGACAGTAAATATATCTAATTGAAGAAACTCAACAGAAAACTCTACTTTGCATATGTAACTTACATTGATTTTAGTGTACATATCAAGTATAGGGGAAAACTATTTGATTATTTCTGCTGTATTATACAAAATATGTATAAAAAATGAAAATTAAAAAAAAAAAAACTTCTGTATAGTTTTTTTTTTTATTTTATAATTAAATTTAAAAATTTTTTTTTTTTTTTGATGGAATGGTAAAAATATGACAGTTACTCTATAATAGTTTATAATAAACATGTAAGATAAAGTAATAAGGAACTTCTTTATTCGAAAGACATCCTAAAAAGTCATATTTTTTGTTTCATAAATTTCAAACAGATCGTTGATGTTCTGTACATTAATAACACGCAGTTAGCATACAAGTAAGTTAAACATTTTTCTTTCTTGGAAGGATTCCATCATGGACGACTGTCCCATTTGTCCCCATCTTTCAAAGCTGACACATTTTTACAGAGGCGTCTTCCCAAAGGCTCTCCGCAGACTGCTGCACCAAGAGGCCGTCGATAAATCCACTGGCAGTTTTGTCGATTTTCTTAATGATAAGAAAGAAATCCTGTTTCACATGAAAGGCAAACAGTGCTGTTGTGGTTTCAGACAGAGAAATTCAGTATTAAAGGAGGCCGAGTGGAATAATTTATATACATCTCGGAGTAACTCTTGTCCAAACAACTGCACCGACTGCTTCCATGTATATAAAGCTCGAGAATGGATGACGGTGGATCAGCTCGATTTTTCTCTTGCTTGTGTTCTTTTGCGCAACATTTGTCCAAATCAATACGAGAACACCATCAAGACTGCTCAGAAGCACAGAAATGAAGTAATACACTTAGAAAAGTCATCAATAGATGGAGAGGAATTCGAATTACTCTGGAACAAGGCTTTAATATCACTTTCTGATATTGCTGATCTTGTTTCCAAAGAGTTTAAAGAAGAGATCATTCTGGAAGCTGAGCTAGTTTACAAATACAAACCGGAATTGTCCAGATATCTAGGTATTTGATACAAGCACAAGTAATTAAATGTCGTATTGAACTATTTAAGGTAAAATAAAATCAAATTGTGCAATGTAAGCAATGAGCAAAGCTTTGTTAATGGTATTATAACTTTTTCTTGTTATTTTAGAAAACACACTTTGTGAGGTAGAAGAACACGAGAAAGATGACTCGTTTACGCCGATAAAAGTAACACAGTCTATTATACACTCACTGGATCACTATGGCATTGCTGTTGTTGTTGGCTACCTTGCATGGAAGCGGGAAGTCCTCAATAGGTTTGGAAGTTATCCGACAAATGTATTCCAATGACAAAACTGTGATCAAGCTCAATCAGGTTCAAGACTGGAGCAAACTTATTAATCCAAAATCTAATCCTGTTGTCTTAATTGATGACTTTTTGGGGGCATCAAATACGTCCCTTGCTGGGATTTTGGAGGTAAAACCTCTTTTTAGCACAATTTTTGCTTGTGTGAAAAATAGTAGTACCAAAGTTGTGTTGACTATTCGGAAATCAATTTACGAAAGATGGCACAACTATTTAGAAGAATCAAGACTGTTTGAATGCAAACATGTAATTGATCTAACTGCAGAGGAGAACAGTCTAAATCTAGAAGAAAAGAGAACTATGTTAAGAAATCATTTGCAGAGCAAAGGAATCCGTGTATTGAGAACGAAAAAGGAGACGCAGAAATGTGATGAGCCCAGTATTGATCAATTTACAGTGGAGGCCATTGCTCATACAAATGCTCATCAGTTTCCTCTTTTATGTTTCTTATTCACAAAGTCAGATAAGCATCTTCATCTCGGACTGAGGTTCTTTGAGCAACCGAGGAAGACATTAGTAGCAGAAATTGACTCATTCAGGAAATCTACCGAAGCAAAGGAAAGATGGAAATTAGCTGTTTTGTCGTATACCGCAGTCTCAGGAAACGTGATCAACCATAGAAATTTAAACATGGACTGTATTACTATTATTGCAGAATCCCTAAACTTAAAAGTTCAAAACAGAATTGAATGCAAAAGAGTGATAGCAGACGCAATCGAGGAACTGGTGAATGATTACATTAGAATGACAACTGGAAGTCGAGATACATACGAGTTCATCCACTTTACGTTTTTGGAGGCAACAGTCCTTTCTTGTGGACTGGTTTTTCCTGAACTGGTGGTGGAGCATTGTAACAAGGATACTTTGTTTCAACTGATAAGACCAGAGCGTTATACTGAGAGAGAAGGAGAGGTTATCTTAAGATTAGACTTGGATTGTTTTGAATCACTTGCAAAACGATTTATTTCAGAAATCATTTTTGACAAGAAAATTATTCCCCATGTTTTATTCCATCCTGTCATGGAAGATACAGAGTTTTCTGAACAGTTTTTCTCTCAGCTTGAGTCATCTATTGTAAATAAGGATTTACTACCGAGTGATGTCTACCAAATTTTAATAGAAGCATCAAAATGGGGTCATCTAAGAACTGCGAAGACTTGCTTTTCGTCCGGTATTCCGCAACATGTTTTAGAGGAAGCGGTCAACTATGCAAGTTATAATAATCATGCTAGTGTTGTTGAACTTTTAGTCAAAGATTTGAAACCTGATCCATATTTCTTACAGGCTTGTAGTTTTGGTTGCGATGATGTAGTCAGTATATTGTTTAAAAAAGGTTTCATTCGAGATTTGGAATTATTAAAGGAGGGAATTTTCAGGTCATCTAAAGCTGGCCATTCAAAGTTAACCAATGCACTACTCAATGTGTATAAAGGATGTCTAAAAGCCTCTGAATTTAAGAGAACGGTCTTGAAAATTTTATACGACGCGATAGAAGCAGAAAAAGCAAAAACTGTAATGGACATTATATCGTATCAGGGATTGGACATAGAAACCGAGGATTTAATTGGTTTAGTTTTGGAATCTTGTTATTCAAATCAATTAGAGTTTGCAGAGTATCTTCTCCGAAAATACGCTCATTTGCATATTGAAAATCGGAATTTGTTAAAATTATTCAAGGGAAGTAGATTATGTGTAGACTTAATTTTTGAATTGAAAGATATTTTCTGCTTACAGAATTTCTTTAGTGATGAAAATATCAAAACTATTCTAATATCCGCTAATCATGGGATTTACATTATTGAGAAGGCATTCGCACGCTTTCCAAATGAAGTCAAGGAATCTGTACGTTCATCACCTGTTCTGTTGCTTCATTTGTTGTGGATCGGTCGTCATTCGATTGTCTCTCAGATCCTATTGGAGAACACTGACCTTTTGCAAATTGTCCAGGACTTGATTAAACAATTTTTAGGAAAGTATTCCATTGCCGAATTTGCTGCTTATTGCGGGTTTCCAAGTCTTGACCTGTTTACTGGGAATGAATCTTGTGAGAGGCTTGGTTTGCTATCTTGTGAGAGGCTTGGTTTGCTATCTTGTTGTATTGAAGGATTTCGAGCACAAGCAAGGCTACCTGATCTAGAGCCCCATTTGGGCTATCTTAAAAATGCACCTTTACATGGAACTGTTAATTTCTTTGAGACGGATTCCCGTCAGCTGGGTTATTTTCTGTGCTTACAGTCTCTGAATGATGAAACCAGTAAACTCAATACAGATTCTCCTATTTTCAGAAAAATAATGGAGATCATGAATGACCATTTTGAATCGGAGACGCTGTCTTTCTTAAAAAACGAAGATAATTTGTTGTCTCTTCGTTTACTGACAATATCAAGCAGGAAATTGGAAGTGCTAAAAATGCTTCGCACAGTTCTTCTTCAACATTTAGACTTTGCGAACATTGAAGAAATGTGTTCGGTCAATAAGCTCATGACATGAATTGATTGAAAACAAATATAGACGACTATCGACATCCATACATTGGATACATGCAACTGTCCTGTTCACAGTGGTATTTATTATACATATTTTTTTTTAACTTTTGGTATTATGATCTCCTTTGCTTGCAAAATCTAACTAAAGACACGTAAGTACCGGGGGTTTAATTATGTAAAACACGTATTACTAACGAGTATCAAAATAAATTTTTGTAATTTTAAATTGTGCTTTTCTCTTTTGCCGAAAAATATGTTAAATTTCGACGATGTTATGTTACAAAAGTATACATAAAGAATTGCTTACTATGTATTTCCAGGAGCCTTCGTTGATAATATAAGATCGAGTCGGAGCCATAATTGTGCCATCAGGTGCTGTCTATGAAATTCAGATGATAACCCTGAGCATAATGGTACTCGTAAACTCTTTGAATTAATCCTACAAAAAAGACCCCTCGAAGACACTGCTTGGTCCGAATGATTATTTTTTCAGACGTATTTAATAATATTCCGATCCTAGCTTATTAAATTCTGAAGAGTATTGTCTGAGTACGTTCAATTTTCAGCTCACCTGAGCCGAAGGCTCAAGTGAGCTTTTCTGATCACATTTTGTCCGTCGTCCGTCCGTCTGTAAACTTTTCACATTTTCGACTTCTTCTCAAGAACCAATGGGCCAATTTTAAATAAACTTGGTACAAAGCATCCATGGGTGAATTTAAATCGTTAAAATGAAGGGCGAAATCCCTTCACAAGGGGAAATAATCAAGAAATACAAAAATAGGATGGGTCATTAAAAGAACCACTAGGCAAGAAAAGCTGAAAAATATGTGAAAGCATCCTGGGGTAGTGTAGATTCTAAATTTTACAAATCATGATCCCAGGGGGTTGAAAGGGGCTACAATAATGAATCGAAGGTTTACAAAGAAATATATATGAGAAAAACTTAAAAAATCATCTTCTCAATAACTACTGAGCCAGAAAAGCTGAAACATATGTGGAAGCATCCTGGGGTAGTGTTAACTCTAAATTGTTCAAATCATGACCCCCGTGGGTAGGGCGAGGCCACAAAAGGGAATCCAATTTTCACATCGAACTATATAGGAAACTTTTTCAAAAATCTTCTCTTCTCAATAACTATTGGGCAGAAAAGCTGAAACTTAAGTAAAGCATCCTGGGGTAGTGTAGATTCTAATTTGTTCAAATCATGATCCCCGGGGGTTGGGCGGGGCCACAGTAGGGAACCCAAGTTTTACATTGAAATATAGAAGAAAAAATCTTTAAAACTCTTCTTCTCAAGAACTACGTGGCCAGAAAAGCTGAAACTTATGTGAAAGCATCCCGGGGTAGTGTAGATTTTAAATTGTCCAAATTATGACCCATGGGATAGGGTGGGTCACAATAGGTATTACAAGGGGGAATTAAGTAAAGAACAGCATTGTCAAAGCTACTCAGGTGAACGATTTTATCTAACAGTAAATTTTCTCTCAGCCTCCTCTACAAAACATGTCTACTGTCTTACAAATCGTATAAAGCGACGCTAACTCTCGACCAATCAGATCTTGAAAGTTTCTTGTTTAAACTGCTGCGGGATATTCACACATAAGTTGATGTCACATTGATTTTAAGACCTGCGAACGATAATATTGTTCTTCCGTCTACCTCCTAGTCAAAATCCTTTTTGCGGGTAATATGGACTGTTATTTTACAAATTTATACCCAGACTTTTTGTGTTTCACGGAAAGAACATCTATTTATAGACGAGAAAACGACAAAAATGCCTATTTTTTTTTAGCAATTTCTAAGTGCTTAACAACTGAAACATTGTATTTTACTAATATATACCGGTATGCTTAATTTTACATGTATAAAACATAAGAAAAGATTTAAGAAACTGTTACATTTATTCATATCCAAGACTATTTCTTAATATGGTGATGCGTAATAGCCTGATTTCTGTGGAAATATCGTCTACCACCCACCCCTTATTCAAGAGCTGGAACTAGGGATAATATACTATTAAGCACTGGTACAAAAAATAATTATTCAATTACAATTGAACTGTTCTTTGTATTAAACAAAGCTTTTATGGTCAAATTGTCTTGTCATCAATATTGAATTAAATGGTTGTAAAATGTAGGCGGGGATCGAGAGTTACCGTGCATAGTTCTTCTGTGGTCATTTAAGTGACCTTATTATAGCAAATATAATCAATGGATCATTTTAAGACTGACTTGTTTTATTGGGTCTTTGTGTTTGTACTGAGTTTACTACTTAGTGTTTTATCGATTTGATCAATACATAGGGCTCGAGTTAAGTGTGACCGGTCAACAGGGGATGCTCACTTTTCTCGGGCGCCTGATCCCCCCTCTACAATTTCCGGAGGTCCGTGTTTATGCCCTGATTTGTATTATTTATAGTTTTTATTGGAACGATCGCTGTTCGTTATCTCCACCTTTTCATTCTTTCATTCTGCGGTGGAATGTACACCAATAACACTCTAAGCTTGCTAAAATTGACTTTATAAAGAATCTTGAGATATTTGAAGTTTGGAATGCAATGTTTCTTTGCCCTAGAAAACTAAATGATTCCTTTCGTTAAGCATACCCATCCTGAAAAATAATTTATGTTTTTCTTGCATCTCAACCTAAATCCCCAAAGATATCTGTCATCCTGTTAGAGTTGTGATTAGGGCAATTTTCCTGCCCGGTTCCACCTTGTTTATGAAAAACAAGATGACTAACTTTTCCTTCCGAACTATCCTTTTTTAGGTCACCTGATTCACTCAAGTGACCTATTGCTGTCCGTTTTCGTCCATCGTTGTTCGTCGTTTGTCGTCAATCGGTCGTAAATTTTTTAACATTTTCAGCTTCTTCTCTTGAACTGCTAAACCAGTTTTAACCAAATTAGGCATAAAGCATCTATAGTTAAAGGAAATAAAAATTGTGAATTTCAGGATCCCTGCCCCCTGGGGTCTGAGGGGTGGGGCCAAAGCCACAAAAATTAATGTAATTTTTGAAAATCTTGTTCTTTACTCCTGAACATCAAGCTGTCAAACTGTTTGCATGATTGTAATCAGCATTGAGTCCTCTGCCAATATTGTGAAATTCGTGGCCCCAGGGTCAGGGGGTTCTAGTGCTAGGGTGGACTAAATAAATCATATACTAATATATAGTGAAAATGCATTATTTCTTTGAAAATCTTCTTCCCTGCTCCTCTGCAATAAATAAACTACTAAGAACTAGGACATACATGTAGTTATTTTGAATAAGACTGCCTCTTCCAATATTGTGAAATTTCATGGCCCCTGGGTCAGAGGTTCTGGTGTTAGGCCGGGGCTCTATTAATTGTATAGTGAAAGACTGAAAGTACATAAATTCTTTGAAAATCCTCTCTGTTCTTGGGTATTAAACAAACTAACCAAGTACATAGTTATGATGAGCGAGAATGTCACTTTCAAAATTGTGAATTTCATGGCCCCAAGGTCAGGGATTCGGTGTTAAGGTGGGGCTCTATTGATTATACATGTATAGTGAAAATGCATAATTTCTTTAAAAATCTTCTCCTCTGCTCCTGGGTATTAACCAATGAGCTATGTACATTTGTACATAATTATAATGAGGAAGGAAGCTTCTTCCAAATTTGTGAATTTCAGGACCCTTGGGTCATGGGTTCTGGTGTTAGGGCGGGGCTCCCCTGATTATATAATGAAAATGCATGATTTCTTTGAAAATCTTTTCCTTTGCTCCTGGGTATTATGCCAATGATCTAAATACATATTTATGATTAAGAAAGTACCTCTTCCAAAATAATTAATTTCAGGGTCCCTGGGTCAGGGGTTACATAGTCTGAAAATAAATTAATGCTTTGAAATCTTCTCTTTGGTATTAATTAACCTTTTATGATGAAGTAAAATTTATAAAATTTCCAAATTTTGAAATGTGTGACACCAGGGTCAGTAGTTCCTGTGGGGTGTGTGGGGTGGGGTGCACAACTAGTAATAAAGTGGAAATGCAATTTCTCTTTGTTACTCTGATCTACCTCTGGGTATTAAGTAACCAAAGTTAAAGCATGCTAAGTGTATAATTATGATAAACAATGGTGCCTCTTTCAAAATGGGACAAGCCCCCTCGTCTGATATTTGAAGATACACTCGTTAAAAGGTACTCTATATATTGCGTAACCAAGGCAGGCAACTGACAAATATGTCAATGCTTCTGGGATGTCAACAACCTCATTTAACGTAAGTTTTTTTGTAAATGCTATGGTCACATTAATGACGTTGTTAACAAAAACAACATGTCATTGGATTTCATTAGGCTTTGTTCTATACTGAACTTTGACTACAGATTATTCTATCTACCTTATCAAAGGGTTCATTGCGTTTATGTCCGATCAACAAGGGATGCTTATTTATCTTAGACATCTGATTCCAACTCTGAAATGTCCAGTTTCATGCCCCGTTCACGGATTTGTACTTTCTGTTGATTATTTAGCTTTATGATTGTTCGTTATCCTCAACTTTATCATCTACTATAGTATAAGTTTTATAGGAGTTATCTATGCACGTTTCAGCCACAGGTACTCAGAGTATCCCCCCTAATCTAAAGCATAAAAAACATGGAATATGCTAATATCATTGAATCTGTTACACATTATTCCTCCTTTTCATAATTTCCTAATTTTATGTGTCCCCGATTGGTAAATTTTTCGACCCATTCACCCGCATTAAGGGTAAATTTTGTTGGTGTGACTGACTGAGAAGAAAACTCTTGTAGTCTGTCGACAAAGTTTTATAAAGAACTAGTTGTTTTCGTCTATTTACCCCAGTTCTCAAATGAACTTGACATAAAGTATAGACCACGAAGTCTTTCGCGTCTGTTCGTTTTTTGGATGTTTTACAAAGAACTAGTTGTTTTCGTCTATATACCCCAGTTCTCAAGGTAAACTTGACATCAAATATAGACCAGGAAGTCTGTCGCGTCTGTTCGTTTTTTGGATGTTTTATAAAGAACTAGTTGTTTTTGTCTATATATCCCAGTTCTCAAGGTGAACTTGACATCAAATATAGACCATGAAGTCTGTCGCGTCTGTTCGTTTTTTGGATGTTTTATAAAGAAATAGTTATTTTCGTCTACATACCCTAGATGCAGAACTGTAGCTCTCCGAAAAATTATTTTGACAGACGGGAGAGCTACAGTGACACACATTGAAAAAACTGTATATTTATTGTTGCGCTTGGTTATGGATTAATTCTTCCAAATTTTTACCTCAATTGCATAAAATTTGGATTTTGACAAATTCTGTACTTCTCTATCAAGTACTTTTGTAGTTGACATCTACACATGGCGCAATAATCCGAATCATCTTGCAAACCAAAATGGCAGTATAAATAGACGAAATTTTCGATGATCTCGTGTTCAGGGCCAGGAGCCAGGAGGGCTATTAACAACAATTATATGGAATGTTTTGTTGTGGAAACAGTGAAAAAATATGTTAGGAACACACGGTTAGTAATATTTTGAGATGATAGATTTAAAAACTTTGAGAAATAAATCGATAAACAGCGCACTTTTTTGTGCGCAATAAATATACAGTTTTTTCAATGGGTGGCAATGTAGCTCTCCGGTCTGTCAAAATATTTTTTCGGAGAGCTACAGTTCTGCAGCTACCATATACCCCAGTTCTCAAGGTGAACTCGACATAAAATATAGACCATGAAGACTGTCGCGTCTGTTCCTTTTTTTTTTTTTTGGATGTTTTATGACGAGTGACACCAACTTCACATACATATATGACAAATAGTGCTCTTTTCACCGTTTATTGAAAATACTTTTTTACCTTTATAAACCTTCCATAAAAAGGTTCTTCAGATCTAACTCTAGATAAAGAGGACATTTTGTTGCTAGAGGACGCTCTGTCGAGCAGATGAAACAGGTAAACATTAGTTTGGAGGAAAGTGTTGTCCAGTCACGAGTAATTGCTGGCCTTAGAGAGCGGGTGGGTGACCGGTAAGGGTGTCACATTACTTCAAGGTTTTAATTTGTTTAAACTGAGTAAGTAAATATTTATGTTTACTTTAAAAACAAGTTTGAAGGAAATATATCCTTAGGACTCTTCCATTTTCAATGAATTTTTCTGAGATGCTTCTTGATTCTGACGTAGAATGGCTAGAAGTGTATATTTACCGTATTTAAAATACGGACATTTACAGATATTTATTTTACAAAATAAATCAAAATTTGCTGTCGTTCATTTTTGTGAAGGTTGGTAGATTTTGTTTTATATGACCTGGAACAGTTCTGAAAAAACCTTTTTTTTATTACATGTATTATTAAAGTGGCTAAATGTTTAACTTTTGAAAGGTTTGGTTTCTATCATTATTAATGAGGATTTCAATTACCGTTGAAATAAAACCCCGTTGTTAGAATTTCATTGATTAAAGACGAACCAATCCATTATTTGCACGAAAATTTTCTGGAAATGCTTTTCAAGGAAAACATTTGCATATCACGGAATCTCACAGTATAAGAATGTACATTATAAAGGAGAATGTTATCAAACATCTTTAGTTAGACGGGATCTAGATCGTAGACAGAGAAGAGATGGGACAAATGGAGATCAAAAGGTGAAGAGTCGTGTGAGTGGTCAACAGTTTTAATGATTTGATATGTTTCATGTATAATACCGGGTAAATATGCATATATATGACTGTGCTTAAAAGTTTTTAATCGGTATCTTAAGTTTTGTCTTTTTTAACTTCTCTGCGTGAACATTAAATATGCACTTTAATTTTTTATATTAAAATTATTGCAAAAGTCATATCTGTGCAGGCTTGTTGTTTCGAATTTCTTTATTAACGGTCATTGAACCGACACAAGCAGAACTAATATACAAGCATTATGCGCGTAAATAGGTTTTATTGATAAGCTTTCAGCTAAAGTATTCATGTATTTGACTCTTAAGTCAAAAACTTCAATATTTAAGATTCAAAAATCCTTTTAGCATAGCTTGCAGGGCAAAATTGGCCAAAAAAGACACTTCAATAGACAAATTTATGAAGGAATGACATGCATTTTTGTCGTTAAAAGTTATCTCTCTTTTCATAGTATCAATGAACCTTAAATATTGCTCAAACATAATTTTAATAAACATTTTGTTAAAATTAGAAATTGAAATGTTTAAATTTTAAAATTTTGACGTAAGCTTCTCCTCAGTTTTTAAACTTTGGTCGATTTTCACTCTTTTAAAAATCTTCAAAACATGAAACACTATATTTCACAATTTTCTGCCTTGCAATTTGTCACAAAAATCAAACGTAACTTGCTTGCTAAGCAGAATGGTCAATTGAAGCAGGTAATAAAGTTGTTGACAAAGGACAACATAGCAGTTCATATCCATTAGCTGATATTTAAAAATATAACAGTTCTGCTTACTTTCAGTTTTGTATGGAGTTTTGGATTTCGCATCACCAATGAATAACCGAATTCTTATGATTTTCAAACTCTTTTGTAGCAAATTAAGAAATATTTTAAAGAGGATTATAGACAGAATTTTTATAAAAAAGGTGTTGTTATTACAAAGTTGTAAATATATGGAATATGAAAGGCACTGGCAAAAAATCTGTGATGTACTTTGAAAAAAAAATCATTTATTTTTATGGTAAAATGTAATTATATGCTAATTTTTAGGATTTACATTAGTTAATTATAAACATTTGAATGCATTTTCCTACTACTGCTGACCCCCCCCTTTTTTTCTTTTAAAATAAAATAACTTTCACGTATACAAGTAAACTTTGTACTGCTGTAAACGAACGAAATTATCAAGACATTCACCATGTATATGTGTTTATATGCTTTGCTTATATATATATATATATATATATATATATATATATATATATATATATATATATATATATATATATATATATATATATATATATATATATAGTCTGCTTTGTGTACTTGTGAAAGCCAATAAAAAAATATAAAAAACTAGAAACTCTTGTTGCTACAGCAACAAAGAAGGTCTTCCGTTCTCCTCTATTTATTTGCATGAATGAGCTTTTATCTATGTTAAAAAGGCATATAATATTTTAAATGATTTAAGGAAAACAAACGGCCGGAGGTGTAACTTACCAAGATTCGATTCTCGACGTTACTTTAGACAATGATAGTCTTAATTACATTTACAAAAATTATTTTCAATTTTTGTTCCCCGCTTGAAAAGTGGGGGATATTAATTTGGGTTTGTCCGTCCGTCTTTCTGTCTGTCTGTAACGCTTTCGTTTCCACACGATATCTCGAGAACCCATTGAGCTTTTGCAATGAAATTTAGCATAGCAACTCCCTATGGACTAAAGAAGACCCCTATTGATTTTGAGGTCAAAAGGTCAAAGGTCAAGGTCATAAATAAGCAAATTCTGTCTGTTATAACACTTTCGTTTCCACACGATATCTCTAGAACCATTTGAGCTATTGCAATGAAATTTTACATAACAACTCCCAGTGGCCTAGGGAAGACCCCTATCGATTTTGAGGTCAAAAGGTCAAAGTTCAAGGTCGTAAATTTATACATTCTGTCTGTGTGTAACACTATCATTCCCGGGCGATATTTCAAGAAGATTTTGAGCTTATGCAATGTAATTTTATACCAAAACTCCCTAGGACCTCTCTCACCCCTCTCAAAGTGCCCCGCCCCGTTTGTTTTATTAGTATTTATAGTATTACATGTCGCTATTTTTAGCACAGGGGCATGCGGAGAGTTATTGCGTATAAAACACGTTTTTATATTCTTATACCATCTATTAGAACTGTTTAATAAAGGCTAAATAAATCAAACACCATGGATTGTGTAAAATTTTGACAATATCGAGCATGAATATATACATGTATGTGACTTCACTTCTGCATATACGCGACAACATTTAAAGCGCCTCCGTGGTCTAGTGGTATGTGTCCCGCTTCATAAGTGAGAGGTCCCGGGATCAAATCTCGGACGATCCTTTTTTTTTTAAATTTTCTTTTTTTTTTTAAAATGATAGTATTCAGCATGTAAAAAGAAAAATTTATGAGGTTATAAAAGCATTATTACAGTGTGATAAATATTCCATATAAAAAGAATCTTCTATACACATAATAGAGAATAAGCAATCAAATCTTTATACGCATATTGACATACATGTATTTTATTTGCATCAGTATACATGTATACATTTATTAATTCTACTAATTCAGTCAGGGGGATCCGACTTTTTCCCTAAGCGGGGGACACGAATTTTCTGAATTAGCTTGTTTTTATCACTTTCTGTGACGACTGGAATTGACGTCGAACGCAATTTACTCTATATCTGTTGCCCTATCTTCATGGTATATCATTCAAAAAAGTTTAGTGTTTTGATCTCTTACAGTTTAAGAGATCTCGTAATGTTATCACAAGAAATCACGTGACCGGAAGTAAATTTTTGAAAAGATATTTGCGGTTTTTCTAGACATTTCAGTGTGAATAACATGCCCTAAAATCATCTCAAATGCTCTTTTTATATAAAAAAAAAATATTTATGGGATAGTACGACACTTAATTTATGCAGTTTTTCTCTCATAACCGGAAGAAGTCGTTTTTGTTTCCAGTGGTACTGACATATTCCAAAACTACAAATAAGATGCTAAAATGTATTACTAAGAAAGATTCCATAAAACAAATTGAAATTTTTGATTTATTTGTTCACTTCCTGTGACAAACGGAAGTGACGGCGGACAATGGAAACCCAAACGAGTTTGCCTACTCGTCGAGGTCTATCACTCCTATAAGTCTTGTGTCTTAATCTTTTACCGTTTACAAGATCTAGCTATGATAACTTCCCATTTTGAAGACAGGAAATAACGCAACCGGAATTGAATTTTACAAAGATTTTTGGCTTTAATGTAGACAGTTGCAGTCTGATAAACATATCCAAAAATCATTACAAATACTTTATCCACAAAAAATATTTATGGGATAGTACGACACTTAATTTATGCAGTTTTTCTCTCATAACCGGAAGTTGTCGTTTTTGTTTCCGGTGGTACTGACATATTTCAAAACTACAAATAAGATGCTATAATGTGATGCAAAAAAGTTTTCATTAAGAAAAGTTGAATTTTTCGATTTCTTTGATCACTTCCCGTGACGACCGGAAGTGAGAGGTTTTGCCTATTCAAGATCTACCACTTGTTAAAGTTTGGTGTCTTAATCTTTTACCGTTGATGAGATCTAGCTATGAAAACTTTTCATTTTGAGGACAGAAAATCACGCGACCGGAAGTGAATTTTAAAAAGATATTTGACTTTATTGTAGACAGTTGTAGTTTGCATTACATATCCAAAAATCATTACAAATACTTAATCTATAAAAAATATTTATGAGAAAGAAAAATACTCAAATTATGCAGTTTTTCTCGAATAACCGGAAGTTGTCGTTTTTGTTTCCGGTGGGACTGACATATTTCGAAACTACAAATAAGATGCTATAAAATGATGCAAAAAAAGTTCCAAAAAAGAAAAAGTTGAAATTTTCGATTTCTTTGATCACTTCCTGTGACGACCGGAAGTGACGGCGGACAATCTTAACCCAAATGGACTCGCCTACTTATCAAGATCTATTACTCATATAAGTTTGGTGTCTTAATCTCTTACCGTTTCTGAGATATGACTATGACAAAATATTTTTGAATAAGACGGAAATCGGACATATCTGACGACCGGAAGTGATTTTTGAAAAAATGAAAAAATATTCTGAGCGTATTTTCATTCTCTATCATCCCTGAAAATTTCAAGAAAATCCGTCCATCCATCTCTGAGAAATCCGCCTGACAAGAAAAGGGGAAAAAAATAATAATAATAAAAAGAAACAGTAGAATCACTATAAGGTCTTCCGTCTGAAACGGAAGACCTTAAAAAGAAGAAATATTTTAATAAAAACATGACAAACGAAATGTAACAAGCACACTCCTGTATATACATGAAATATATATATATATTTTTTTTTTAAATCAAATGTAATGTCAACAATTGCTTAATATTTTTTTTTATATTTTTTTCAGTTTTTATTTTTGATTTGTGGAAAACATGACCCAAAACTTCAGCCTTTCAGTAATGTAAGTATGGTCAAACAAGAGCTATAGTATTATTACATGTAGTTAACAGATTTTCCTTAAAAATGAATAGAGTCCTGTTCTAAATTTTATATTTAACGTACTACCATCCGGTATATTCAAAATTTAGAACAGAAGTTTTAGCCATTTGTTTCAATTATCTTTTAATCTCTGTAAATTGTATATAATATTTATAATAATTACACGTATATTATTATACAGATTTCTACATATTGTATACTTCAGTATCAAAACACCACGAAGCTTTCTTATGGAGAAAAAGGGTTTATTATGTGTACATTCCAAGGGAAATTTGATATACATTGTACATATGGATACACGTCTGATTGTTCTGTATTGCTGGTTGTGTTTTCTCCTTCCTTATTTAGAAGTAAGGATCGGTTAATTGTTTAATAATGTAACGATTGGATGTTATCATTCAAATACCAGAAGTAAGTTTATTTGACCTTTACCTTTAGGATAGGTGTAGGCTATATTAAACATCAATATTGTCACAAACCACAGAGTAAAGTGTTGAAAAGGCGAAAATTGCATCAAGAGGCCTGTGGGGCAAACCGCTCACCTGAATCATCAGCCTATTTTTGGAAGCAAATAATTTTGTCAGTCCATAAATTAAACAATCTTAATTTACAGTATATCGAGGTTTGATATCGATTTGACAAATTTTACCTTTTCCTATTCGTCTTTTGTCTATGCATTTTCTATACACCATTCGTTTCTCAAAGCCGAGACCCCTGGGCTTTGCTTTGAGCAAAGATTAAAAATTAAATATAAATATAAAAAATTGATCTTTTTATAACGATTGGCAACAGTAATATTTTTCCTCTATGTCCTGGGAAAAGATAATGACCTTGACCTGGCATTGACTCAAATGCAAAACGGCCAAATTTTATCTACTAATACCATCACCTAGTGATATTGTCTTGATTCTGTGAAAATTTCTGTAAATTTTAAATACAAGAAATACATGGGAAAATTAAAGAAAATAATTCTTAAACAGGATTATAAAAGATGCTTTCAAGAAAGCAAGACAAGATGTTAAAAACAGCTTGAGGTTGCAGTCTCTCTCTCTCTCTGGAAAACTGTTATTACTGTTATTTGTAGCCCAAATCAATGTATTCAGGATAAGCAAATACGGAATGATTTTTTTCGACTAAATCACTTTGGAAAAAAACTAAGATGAAATTGACCCATCAGTCGCGAATTTGGAATATCTACAGACATCAAATGACAGGTATATTTTAAGGAAAGCTGAATCAAGACTTTGGCTCGGGTGAGCTGAAAATATAGAGACCGAATTACCAACAATCTGATGTTTGTTTCGGAGAAAGAGGGGTCATAGAGCAAATTTTCAAAATCTTTTTTAGACCTTTTTTTAGAGAACAAGTTGATTATGGGTAAATATTTAACCAACAAGGGATAGCCATAAAAGGACTTTGATTCTACTTCTTATTTAGAAGTAAACATTTTTAGAACAATACGAGTAAATTCATCAATTTCAATATCGAAGGAGGGTATATATTATTATGTAATTAAATGTCAAAATGATGGGTCACCCCCTCCCCCTTTCCTCAGTCGTGTAGCATCTTAATCATCATAAAGTGAAATAATTGGCATTTATAATAACTAGCTGTAGTAATTAATTAATGTCTTTTGAGCACAGCTGGCTTCGGCCTGTTGACTGACAGTTTTTCTATTTGTCATATTTTCCTGCCTTACGAGTGATAAAAATCAGGTCGTTGTACGTGCGTACTGCTTTAGAGCTTTTTCGTAAACAATCATGAATGATAGTGAAGTTCGCGTTCCTCTTACTTCCAGATCGGACGACAATGGCGTTAAAGCCCCTACCCCTAAGATTACGGAGGTTACGGTGCCCTGCTGTGGGGCCCCCCTCCCAGCGGAGGATTCCCAGGAGGGTATCAGTGACATAGCCCGCCAGCTGGAATACCGTGTGGCCGATGACCCTCCCATTCATCTATGCTTTGTGTATGGATTACAGGTAAATACATGTGTTTTATGACTTCAGCAGCAATATTATCCTTCGACACTATCCTTACTTTCTTCACAGTAGCAAGTATAAACTTGGAGAAGATTGTGACAATGAATCTCTCTCTCTCTGAGTCTCTCTCTTTCTCTCTCTCTTTCTCTAAGAGGAAAATATTTAATTTTAAAAATCTTTTTAATAGCAAGTCCTGCTGAGCATCAGTTCGACGATTTCCATCCCTATTATCGTCAGTCGTTACATCTGTGTAGGGGACATGGAGCTCGTGACGGCGGAGATCATGTCCACTTTCCTGTTTATGGTCGGCGTGTGTACGTTCCTACAGTGTACGATCGGCGTCAGGTGAGACAGCTGGTCAAGCACTTAACCTCACAAGAATGCTAAGTATGGAGCGCGGGGGATAAAATATGTCTATTTCTTTGCTGGGGGAAATAACAATGATACACATGCTACATACATATATGATTTTTTTTAAAAAAAAAAAACAAGCTACATGTATTTGCAGGGATATCTGTGTAGTTTCATAAAATGTTTATCGATAGATTTTTTTTTATGTTTTATTTGATTTAAATGTATTTTGTTATATTGAAGAATGGTTATTTGTTCAGGCTTTGTACAAACCAAACCAAATCTGTAGAGCACTTGCCCTGACACATGTTATAAACTGTGGCACAGCATGTTCATTTTGATAAGATAAAATAGGTAACAGGTCAGTAGTAAACTTGGGGAGGGATATGACAAAATTAGAGTTTGTAGTATTTTAAAGTTAATATTGACTTGGAAATTAAAGTTGATATACAGAAATGGAAAATTTGGGTTTCCTTAGAACTCTCATCTAATTTAAAAAACGTATTATTTTGAAATAATTATTTCATTATGAAAATCAATGAAAAAAACTGATTTATACAACTGAACATTGACAACATGTACTTATAAAATCAATATGCAAGCTTTGGACAGGATATACCGAGACAATGCTATTAAGATGTATATAAACTGTAACACATTAAATATATATTTACAACAGAATTCATTTTGTGCCCTTTCTGCAAGTTATAATTTTGTTTGCCTCTATAATGGAATCAACAAACAGACACTCTTCTCCTTGAAATTAAACATTCACAATCATATAGTAGTATATCGCCAGGTCCACTGTTCTGGTCATTGATTAAGATTTGAAGGTCGTTGGTCGAGTTATTCAATAATTAAGTTCTATTTGACATGGATCAGAGCACACACTTAAATAAAATGTGGTCGTGTGTGACTTTCAAGTAAAGTTCAATTTAGATTAGTTTCATTGCATTTGGTCCGTTTTAGGATGAAGCTTAGATTGATCCCCACCCCCATCCCCCATCCCGTCATCAGTGCGCAAGAACAATTCCAGGAAAATCATAAAATAAACATTTTAAAAAGTATGAATCAATAAAAAAAATTAAAAGTATATCCTGAAGTAGCCGGATGTCATAACAACAAGCTGGTCTGAAAATATCTCCTCATTTATCTTTTGCATGACCACAAATTAAAATCTTAGTTCTAAATAATAAAAGAAATCTTACATTTGAATCAAATCTTTATTCATATGTCAATGAGAACCCCTGTGTTGTAGACTTCCGCTGATACAGGGCGGCTGCCATAAGTTCCTTCCCGCCATCTCGGCCCTGATGAGCATCCCAATATGGAAGTGTCCAGAAATCCAAGGTTTTTCTTTTAAAAAAAAATACTTTAACCTTGATAATGGTATTCTTAAACAAGCAGAAATACTCAATTACAGAGTGAAAAAAGATAGGTATTCTAACAGAACTTCTTCTTTCTTCCATGATTTTATACTTAAATTCTATTTTTAAATTAAAGAAAATAAACAATTAAAACCATTATCATTTTGATTGGCCTGTTGATCCCCTTCAAACGATATGGTAATCATATTTCTGCCATTATCCGGTTCTTTTAATGAATCAAAATTCGACACTTTCAACTGGATGGAAAACGCTGTAGATAAAACATAAACTCTTAATTTTAATTTGACAGCCTCGTCATCGGGGAACCTTACAATTACCAACAGTAGCAGTAACGGCACCTCGCCTCCTGTGTACGACCCTACTGAAGTATGGCAGTCACGTATGAGAGAGGCAAGTTAAACGTCATTATAATATCGCACACGTGTGATTTCGTTAATTAACTTTTTCTAAAGGCAGTAAATCATGCTCTCTATTTTAAAATGACCATATAAAAACAAAATAATATAGAATGCAAAATGATATTGCGTTGTCGTATATTCAAAACTGCGCTGCGACATAACTTCTACAAGACTGTGGGAATAAATGAAGTAATTTGAAATTATGGTAAACATTTCCCTGAATATTTCATAAAACTAGGATGTATAATTTATAGATATATCAATATCTTGAATGTTTTATTTAGATTCAAGGTGGGATAATGTTGGCCTCACTAACACAAATTTTGATTGGTGCCACTGGGCTGCTGGGCTGGCTTTTGAAGTTTATCGGACCACTGACAATCGTGCCTACTATCACGCTGGTCGGGTTGTCCCTGATAGACGTCTCCATTGTGTTCTGTGAGACACACTGGGGCATAGCAGCTATGTAAGACAACTTAATTATTTTGAAAGACATTGGAATATACTGGTATTTTAATGAAGGTGCAAATTTATTGAGTAGCTTAAATTACAGCTTCTTACTTTAATATCTAAAAAAAATCCTTCCTTTTTTGCCCTTTTTTGCAATTTTTTGAATTTCCGATATTTGAAAAACCAGTAAAACTCCCTGTTTCCTGAATGAATTTTTCTTTCATTTTTATTTCCCATTTAGAACAATTTCTACCTGCACTGTTTGTTTTTGTTGTCTTCATTATACCATACTTGGTTTCCCTTTGTCTGACGTTAAACACTGGCTGTACCGTATTTTACTCCGATATTTACGAAATCGATCAACCCGAAATATTCCAAAGACAGCAACAACCTTAAAGATACATATGTATTTATTTTCTCAAAGATCATAACATGAGGCATACAACACAAGACAAGTCCGTCACAACGATCGGGGACACAAAAATTATATGAGTTAGACAAAGATATTCACTGCCAAAACTCCGGATGGAGTAGAGTCTTCTTTTAAGTACTGGTCAATTTTTTTATGAAATAGCGTCGCCAAATTGTCCACCCTCACCCAAAATTGTGAGTGCAAAACAGTAGGAGACCTAGCACCAACACCCGTAGTTCCACAGGCCTGCAAGAAATACTGATCGAACAAGACTATTGAGTACAGCATACGAGGGCTGTTCAATAAATAATGTCCTAGGTGCTCGGAAAGAAGCAAAAGACGCTTTTCAATGATTTAGTCTTCATGATTTTACTTATTAATCTCTTTTAATTAAAACACGTGTCCGTAACATTTTTTTATCCAATGTCTGATTGTTTTAAGAACTCATTTTTGGGTATGACCCTTAGTATACTAGAAAATGGAAGATCCAATAATTTCCTGGACTTGTTTCTTCCTTCTGAAAGGTGTTTTTTCAAGTTTGGAAATAGAAACAAGTCAAAAGGTCAAAGATCTGGCAAATATTGTTAATGTGAAAAAAACATTAACTTTCTGTTTATCCCGAAAACCCTTTACTCTTCAGGGTGTGCGGGTTTGGAAGCTGTCATGAAGAAATTTGTAGTGGATTCCTGATTCTGGGTCCTTCCTCTAATAAACCTTTCGATTTTTTTGCAAAAAAATTGCTTTCTAGACTCCTCCAGAAATTAAACTGTCTCCCCGAATACGAATTTGAACAACAATACCACTAATATTATATTTAAGAAAATTACATATAAATATGTCTTTGTTCTCTTGCATATCTTTGCTCTTGTCAGACCTTCGCTGTTTTTAAAATTATCAAGTACATCTTATGGTAAATTTTGTTTTGAGGGTTTTAAGCAATAGATTCATGTTCCATTATCTGTTTGAATATCAAACAAACGTGGATAACTACAATTACTGATATTTTAAAATAATTGTTCAGACATTCGTACACGCTGTCGTTTTCACTTATTTTTCAAAATATAGTGTGACGTTTGAGTACCAAGCTTTTTTACCGTCAAACGTTTCTTAAAAACTGTGTAAACTACTCCCGATATGATGTCTATCAAATTTGCTATGTGTCTTAAAGTCAATCGTACATCATTAAATATTATTTGTTGAAATTTGGCAAACAGTACATAAGTTGTTATGATTTTTGTTGGCAAGGACGGTACCCATTTTTGATGCCCATTATATAAAATTTTATCATTGAAATCCACCTGCTCATTTGTCTATAAAACAGTCATTGGTTGCTGTAAATGTCACATATTTCAGTGAATATTTCTTTGGGATTTTTAAAAAGTTTTAAAGCAGCTTTAATGAAGTTTTTATTTTCACTCGAGTTCACTGATTCTTTACCATTCATTTATAATGCAGTGTCTCGAATAACCCTTGTTTCCCAGCTTCTCACGATGAAACTATGTGATGAAAAGTGGTCACATAAACTGTTATAAATTCATTAAAGATTCAGTAATGAGAGAAAGTCAATTTTAATGTCATAATTATGATATCTGTATTGTATGTCATACAGTTCAGGACATTATTTATTGAACAGCCCTCGCATATACGAGATGTATTTGTCTAGTCTAAAAAATCACAAACTCTCCAAAATTATCGATCTTTCCCTTTACTGTTTTGAAATCTTGAGGCACACTGACCTTACTTTTAGTAATTTGTTTCTGTTAATTTTTAAACTTTTCCCTCTCTCTTTTGATCGAAGCTCGATGTTTTCATCACTCGCGATGCAAACACAACCGCAATCGGCACTGTATGTTTCTTTTACTTGGTTTCCTTTTGTAGAAAGTTATTCCCGACTACATTGTGTTTTTGTTTCTGTTACTTTGTTGTTGTTTTGTTGCAGAACGTTATTCCTAGTTATACTGTCCTGTGTTTGTTTCTGTTGCTTTGTTATCTTTTGCAGGACGTTATTCCTGGTTATACTGTGTTTTTGTTTCTGTTACTTTGCTATCTTTTGCAGGACGTTATTCCTGGTTATACTGTGTTTTTGTTTCTGTTACTTTGCTATCTTTTGCAGGACGTTATTCCTGGTTATACTGTGTTTTTGTTTCTGTTACTTTGCTATCTTTTGCAGGACGTTATTCCTGGTTATACTGTGTTTTTGTTTCTGTTACTTTGCTATCTTTTGCAGGACGTTATTCCTAGTTATACTGTGCTTTTGTTTCTGTTACTTTGCTATCTTTTGCAGGACGTTATTCCTAGTTATACTGTGCTTTTGTTTCTGTTACTTTGCTATCTTTTGCAGGACGTTATTCCTAGTTATACTGTGTTTTTGTTTCTGTTACTTTGCTATCTTTTGCAGGACGTTATTCCTGGTTATACTGTGCTTTTGTTTCTGTTACTTTGCTATCTTTTACAGGACGTTATTCCTAGTTATACTGTTCTCTTTGTATCTCGGAAACGTATCTATTCCAATGAAGGTCTACCAGAGAAAGAAAGGATGCGTGTACATCAGCTACCCGGCCTTCAAACTGCTCCCTGTGAGTTAATATCCTACATTAACTAAGCTCAGCTTGGAAGTTAATGTTCCTTTTTATTTTGAAAATTACCATCCTCTCTGTTTCGTAGGTTTATTGAGGGAAATTATATTACGGTTCTCTGTACCTCTCCATGTTTAATAAAAGTTAATTATATCAAGATGTCTGGTTTATTAATTGCACATACATTTATTTGAGATGTGAGATCCTTTCCACCGTTTAAGGTTATATTGGCCGTACTGATATCTTGGCTGGTATGTGGTATCCTGACGATCTCTGGCGCCTTCTCTGACAATCCTAAGGCTCTGGAGTATCAGGCGAGAACGGATGCCAGTGTTAAAGTCTTACACAACGCCAACTGGTTCTTCTTCCCATACCCAGGTGAGCGAATATTAATAACCATATAATTTACAAGGCATCCGTATGTCTTTAAGCATCTCAGTAAAGATTCTGCACCAACAATAAATAGTAATAATATAGCAACTTTAATTTACATGAGGGAGTTATAGTCAAATAGCAACTTTAATTTACATGAGGGAATTGCAACAAATTATTGCCTACCTAGGTCAGTGGGGACTGCCGACAGTAAGTGCAGCAAGCTATATGGGTATGATGGCAGCAACATTAACTTCTATCATTGAATCTGTGGGCGATTACTACGCATGTGCACGGATATCCGGCGAATCACCGCCGCCTGCACATGCTGTAAACAGAGGCATTGCTATAGAAGGCTTTGGCAGCCTAATCTCAGGAGCGGTGGGCTCAGGGGGTGCAACTACTTCTTACAGTCAAAACGTTGGTGCTATTGGTTTTACTAAGGTATGTTTTCTGATTGCTTCTTGAATGCTTATTATACTCCCTCCCCCGCTTGATGAGCGGGTGTCCGTCTTTCCGTCTGTCAGTCGTTTTGTACGTCTGTTACGCTTAGGGATGCTCATCTCTTATCATCAACAGTCTTCTACTTTGCTACTTAACTAAATAAAATTCGTTCAGATTTCACAGAATCTTTATTTTTATTAATATATGCTCCTTCTAAATGTTTTGATCAGACAGATTTTAGGACTTTATCAAAGTAAAAAACGTACTTTGCTTTTGTACTCAGAGGGGAATAGGGGTATCTTTTTGTGAGCTTGCTGCTCACAGCACTTCCATTTTCCATTCAATATTCTATTTCTGCTGAAAATAATCGAAAACTTTTTTCTTTAAGATTGCCAGTAGAAGAGCCTTTCAGGCAGCTGGAATTATTTTTATCCTGTGTGGAATATTTGGTAAATTTGGCGCTCTTTTGACTATGATGCCAAAACCAGTTCTGGGAGGTATTGTCGTCATCAGTTTTGGAATGGTGACGTCAGTGGGTTTATCCAGTTTACAGTTTGTGAACTTGTCGTCTGGAAGAAATCTCTGCATTATAGGACTTTCACTGTTGCTAGGACTTATGATTCCCAATTACCTCAACAAACGAAAAGGGGTCATAAACACAGGTAAGAATTACTGTATCTGTTTGTTCCACAGTAACCCCAGTATAAGATGCTCAGGAAAATGGATAAAGAAATTATATACATAACAAATATCGTACTTTATTTGCTCCAATTCAATAGTTTATAAATGTACAAATAACTGATTAATCAATTTAATATCTACTTCACCAAGGCAATGCAGAAGCAGATCAAGTGATACTCGTGTTACTGAGTACGTCGATGTTTGTGGGAGGGGTGGTGGGCTTCCTCCTAGATAACACGGTGCCAGGTAAAAATCAAAATCCTCTCTTACAGTTGATAAGCTATATTGATCATTTACGTACAAATGTATCGTTTTTGCACAACAAGTTGACCAGACAAGGCCGGGTGAGTTTTCTGTTGACAAGTTACGTTCTACGATTTAGGAGTAACATGTTGTTACTTTCCCTATCGTCATAAACGAATATATCTTCCGTACAAAAAAGTCGAGACTCGCATAGACATGCGTTGATTGTTCGGTGACTTGTACAGAAAGTTTTTGTAAGAAATTTCTAAATGTTTATGTTAATGGTTGTGATTAAATGTAAAAAAGTTCAAGCAGTATGGGAAAACTCTCTTAGCGAATTAGTAGGATGATAAATATCTTCAGCTAAAATTTACTTTAATTTATTTAAACTTACTGTAAGTCCAATTAAGCATACATGTGCAGCGAAGGTTTAGCAATATGTTGATCAGAAGCTGGAATTCCTGCTTAACGGATCTAAAGCTTAAAACCAAATTTCCGTTTATACACAAATCCTTTGAAATTTATTTCTTTTGTTATTGTGATGACTCCTTATACATGTACGAGGTTTGATTTTTCAATATGAACTTCGATGTGAGTCGGTAGAGTGTTTTGAATCAAGATTCGATAGAAAGTGTTGCAATACCACACTTACTTATTTATAGACAAATGTTTTATCTCCTAATACAGAGACTGCTTACAGTAACAGACATCACTATCCGGTACCATTCTTACAAATGGGTGGTTTGATTTTATGTCAGTCCTTGCAGAAAATTAACAATGGATTGATCCGCCTTCACCCCATCCCTAAATTCTGCCAGCGACAGTTTGTCGTCTGCGTTTTTGTCCATGCGTTTGAAAATGAGTTCAGTCCTTTCCTCTGGGGTAGATTTCTTATGCTCAGACTTCATTGTAGATGCAACCATTTTATGGATTGCCTGAAAATTTAAAAATATTGTCATTAGTGGTCTTTATAATGGAACCTATATTGATTCACATATGAATACAAAAATATCAGAAACGTGCATTTATCATATACGGTTTTTTCCATTATTCATAACCTGTGAAAATCAATAAACATTAAACTTGAGTTTTAAAGTCATGTGTCCCGTGTCGGCTTACCTTAATGATTTCTAACATCTCAGGCTTCGTAATATAACCATCTCCATCTAAATCATAGATTCTGAAGGCGAATTGTATTTTTTCATCTAAAGTTCCCCTTGAAGAGACGCTGAGAGCACACATAAATTCTCTAAAGTCTAACGAACCATCTTTATTCTCATCGAAAGCCTTGAACACATATTCAGCAAATGATGTGGCGTCTCCACGTGGAAAAAAATTGGCGTAAACTTTCTTGAACTCCTCCATAGTGAGACTGCCCTTTGGGCACTCTTTTATGAATCCTTTGTACCATTGCTGAAGTTCCTCTTCGGTGAAGTTGGTCTGTAGATTAAGGTCACTGAGCTCCCTAGGTCCTAGTTTACTGCTCTGCTTCCCCATGTTACACGGACTTTCATTCACTTGGAAAATTTCAACACCACTATTTGTAATCAATGGTATATTTTTCACATGGCTGCCCTCGTAACCAATATTTTTAATTGTCTGTGGAATAAATCAGATATTCACCGATGATTCTACATTATATTTATCAAATCAAATCAAAGACGTCCTGTTTTGTACAATTCCCTTTCGGAACTATTATAGATTGGAATGATTACAATTCCCTTTCGGAACTATTCCAGATTTAAACAATTTAACGTCAAGATTTCTTCTTGGAGTGTATGTAGCAATTCCATTATGGCTGTTGCTCTTGGTGTACTTTTATGATCCGATCGAATTAGTATTGACCAATGTCCAACTGTTGGCCACTGAATGTTTATTCACCAAGGCGTTTAAAATCGCATGTAGAAAAATTTAAACTCCCAATTTTAATTCTTTGCACTTGAATAATATTCCGAGTCTTCTAACCCCGCGTGAACTTTTTATCAATAAAGAGTTAATTTCCTAATGTATTTAGATATTCTACTTGAGTGGGCATAAAGACCCAGTCTTCAACAGTTGTCAATATTAACAGCGAAGAAAATATTGGTCAGACTCGTTCGCATCTCTACGCACAATAAATTGTAGAAAAAGTCTCACTGCCCCAAATGCAATATTTTTTTAAGAACCGTATATGTAATCAATGAGTCGCCATTGTCAGTTTCGTTTGCAAAAATAAGAGCGAGTGCGTGTGTTTCATGAAAACGGCAGTCTTCGATGACACGTTTCAATAAATTATAGATTAGAAATTTCTCGTACTGCATTTCTGAGAAAGGTTAATTCGAAAAATCGAATATAGGTAGTAGTTTCACTCAATCAATTAATTAATATTAATTTCAATACTTTTACACTAATTTATTTTTAGACGAGTAAATCTCTCTGTACAAATTTATTCTTTCCAAAATTATTATTAGCAGCTTTTCATTTTTATCCTTTTCTTTAAAGAAAATTTCCAAAAGATAATTTATGTACAAGAATTAAAAATCAGTGTGCTTAAATTATATTATTTGCTTGGTTATCATGTCGTTAATTTTCCATTTACCTCTCCCTAGTAAATTCAAAATTTACAACATGATAATTGTCTAATTCTGTAGCTGACTTTCTTTTTCCCAGGTAGCCGAGAGGAGCGAGGAATGCTGAAATGGAAGAAGCAGGTATCGTCTGACTCAGCAGACGACAAGAGGAGAAGACTTCGGGTGTATGAACTACCCTACGTCACGGACTTCTTGTACAGGCATAACATTTTCAGTTACATTCCATTTCTACCAAGTTTCAGGGCACGCCGTCATAAAAAAGACACTCCCAAGGAGTGCAAAAAATGAGGATGTGTTGTGATGACGAGTAATGACTCTGGAAGGGTGGAAGATATACAATACATGTTTAAAAACTTAATCCTTGTCTTCCATAAAATTATATATATTCCATAAACATGTGCTTGGTTTGAGAAATTTATAATTCTTCAAACAATTTACAGGTTATCAGTTTCATTGATTAGTAAACACTTTTAGTGTATATTTTCTGATATATTTTTATTATATGTATCTTTTCAGCATAATAAAACACTTGAAAGATTTAATGTTTTTTTTCTCTACGTCGTGTGTGCAATAGATGTAACTAAAATATTTGATAATTTGCACAAAGGGGTCTTCCGCAGTATGATATTGAACACAGATTTTCTTTTAAATTTTTGATAATCTGCGCAGAAATCTGGTTGCTTTTGATATTACGCAAAGAAGTCTTGTTGCTGTTCAACATTGCCCACAATATTTTTACTGCAGTTTTGGAATGAGCAAAACATCCTTTTTGTAGTGTGATGCCGCACACAACATTCTTGTTGCTGTTCAATATTGTGCACGACATTTTACTGCAGATTGAGAAGGAACAAAACACCCTTTTTGCAGTGTGATTTTGCGCACAACATTCTTGTTGCTATTTGTTATTTCTGAGTGAATCACTGTCTAGATTCTGTAAAATAATTTTAATTTTTTATTTAGTTTATATCTTTTTTTACGTTTGAGGTATAATTTTTATGTGATTTTGTATTTTTTCTAATACCGTAACTATGATGAGTTTGTTTCAAGAAAATTTACTGCAGATTTGAGATTTTCTAAGCAGACAAATTGAAAATTAGTCTATGTTTCCACTTGCAATGGCATAAATACACTTAATTATTGAAATGTCAGCAATGGGAACATTGAATTTTGATGCTAAATTTTCTCAAGAGTGTATTTTTTTAAATTGAAAAATCTAGTTTTATGGTTGATTATGATCCACAGAATATTACTTCAGAAAAGTCGAGAATTTGCTTAAGTTTATACCATTTCACAACAACGTGTTTAAAAATTACTTGTCAATATTTTTTATTTATATCAAATCCAGCTCACAAAAATTGCTTATTGTTTGTTCAAAAACTATGTTTATTCTTTAAGAAAAATATTGAAATGCAAAGCATGTATTTCACAAATTATTTCCTAACGTACAAATCAATGACTTGTTGATAAATCTGAAATCTGAAACATACTTTTATATGAAATAAGCTTTAAGGAGATAACAAACAGTATATTCAAGCTTAAACGTCACTGAACAATACAAACCTGGAACAGAGTAAACACGGACCTCTAAAGGTGGGATCAGAGACATAATTTTACAATATTGATGTTATTGATCATTAACTTTGAAATTTCATCATCTGAAATACATCAGATAACAAAGATATGTTCTAAAATATTGAAATCACTAAAGGTAATTGACCCGAAACTTGAATATTGGATGATATTTGATTATTTGGTATTATATGGGTGAAATATGAGTGTTCTTCAGAGATATGCTTTATACTACCTCTATAATCAATTCTATTTGACATCAATAGTTTACCTCCCTTCAAAGGTTCTGCGAAAACATGTACACTTTGATAAATGAAAATCATACAATTCATAGCATATCTCATCCTGAATGGAACAATATCCATTATAATGTAGCATTAGAAGTTAGATTAGTGATTAATTAAAGTATCAACACCATATCACCTTTATGTGATAAATCAAAGACAACAACATGATGAAATTAATATCTGATGATATTTTGCTGGCCTTTTTTATTCCCGCGACTAATTATAATGCCATCAGTACATTTCTGAGTTGGACCAATATCTATTTGATTAACCTAATGCAGTTTCTCTGGGACTATGCATTGTGGGATCTTATTTTTATGTTACATCGGCTTCTGATGGTGGGATATGGATCACCCAGTACTGATCTAAATGTCTGTGATGCTTTGCGTGACGGAACCATACTCCGGCCCTTTTCTGTCACGGTGAGAGCTGATGAATGCACTCAAAGTGCTGCCCCAGGCGTAGAGGCCTACTTTTGTCGACACACACTCACACCATCATTTTTACTTTCCTCATCATGATCACTTCGTATAAAAACAAAAACGATACAATTGTTATTTTGCTGCAATATTTGAATCTGGTCACATTTTCCCTTTGGCTTCATGGAAAGACCTGCTCGGAGAAGTTTGTCTAAAAGAATCGTATCCGGAGACTGGAAGCGCCGCTTTAGGATGTTGACGAGTATTGACGACCTTCGATCCCTCCGCTTCTGGAAGGCCGTAGTGGCCGAATGTGTCGGGTCACTCCTGCTGATTCTTGTAGGTTGTGGTTCGTGCATAGATTGGGATAAGGAAAACAAAGTGGTGAGGGTATCTCTTTGTTTTGGGCTTTGCTATGCCACTGTTATCTGGACGTTTAATCACGTGAGTGGTGGTCACATAAACCCCTCTATCACGTTTGCTCATTTTGTGACGAGGCGAGTGAGTTTGGCTCGGACTATCTTGTACATTGTGGCTCAGATAATTGGAGCCCTGATCGGGGCTGGGATTCTAAAGGGCCTCACGCCATCATCACGAGGCGGGGCCGCTACAAAACTTCACCCGGAGATGAATA